CATTTGAAACAAATTATTAGTAAGATTGCTGGTGCTTTTAATAAATAAGTTATCTTGCTTTATGTAAACTGCTTAGAAGTTTTGATGATTAAGCAATTTTTTTGTGGCACATTATCCCCATCTCCAAGCGGTGTAAAATTCCAGAAGTTCCACCCCTGCTTATCCAGGGTCTGTGTTTCCTTTTGCAAATGAGGCACAGTGGAGATGGTGGTGCCTTTATGATATATGGTTTATTTGCATATATACACAACCTGAGCCTAAGGTGGAGGGGCTCACAGTGTTAACACTCCAAGAGGTTCTTGCTTCTCACACGGCCACAATTTTGGATGCCAGCAGAAATCAACCATGGCCCTCTGTCCCTGCGTTTAACAAACTGCCACTATTTTTCAGACTATTAAAAAACTCATCCTAAACTCTCTGCTACAAATTTATTTTTGTCCTCTGACACTGAACTGGTGGAGGGGCCCCTCCCCAGAGCCATCTGACCCATACTTTCCTACATGGCCTGCTACTTTCCCTTCCAATAGTGAGGCCAAATTTGTGTGAAGCAGAACACTGACAACTAGCTCTCTGATTCTGTGAAATATCTGCCCAACTTCCAATCCTTTGGCAATGCAGGACTCCTCTTTCGGGATCTTACCAAATCCATTGTTATTCTTTTATTGTTTAAAGTTGTCATTTAAATTTTTGTAAGCCACATTTGTATAGCTGTCAACTTTCAGATTTGAAAATAAGGGTTCAGTAGCCTCACCTGTCCTGGGGACAGTCTACAAGATATCTAACAATCCGGGATAGCAGCGGGAAACAGCACTGGGATAAGGGAATTTCCCGCAAAAAAAGGGAAGGTTGACAGCTATGCACATTTGATCTACTAACATGAGATAAAATTAAATAAATCAGTAACTAAATTACTTTTATATGCTTCAGCTCTGTCTAGTTTTATTAAACATTATAGAAGCATCATAATTTGTGAGTTTAATTTGATGATTATATTGAAAATGGCAAGCTTGTAATGTTCACATGCAAACACGTTAGTAATTTCTGTTCTTATGTATATCTGGAATTAGCTGTAAGGTGTATACTGCTATTATTACTAGATCAGACAAGCATTATATAAACAGAATTAGACTCTGCTTGCAAAATCTTGAGTTTCACTTTACAGTCTTTAGCAAATAAATCCATTGGCTTTTCTAATTCAGAGCTGGTACAAAGCCAAGCAGTTAGCACACTGGAAACCCATAAACACTCTGAAAGTATTTATTTGCAAAAACTTTTAAAAATAACACACTTGGAGCTGTGTTCATTTTGGCACATGTAATGGTTTGCATGCTCTGCGAGTTTCGCCCCCTGCAGCTGTGCCGTGTTGAAATGAACCTAGAATGAAACCAGCAAATACCAATAATTTGGCCCAGGCTTGTTTCAAATTGGATTCAGGTTTTCTGGGAAGGTTCATGAATCTAAAGGAACTTCTAGATTCATACTGTCTAACAGGAAACAACACATTTCATAGGCCCTGAGGTTTCATAACAGGTTGTTTCAACTTGATATTTCTGAGTTCTGCAGGAAATTAATAGTGCATAACAATGAATTAAACTCCTCTCCCCTTATTGCTATCCTACTTTTTGTACTACTGGCAATATGGTGACCTACAAAATGCTTCTGTGGGAGCCAATGTGGTATATGGAGTGCTGGACTTGGATACGGGTAACAAAGGTTCAAACCTTTGCTAAGCAATCCAGTGTACAGGGTGACCGTAAGAAATCATGGTATCTCTACCTAACCTGCCTCACAGAATTGTTGTGAGGCTAAGATGTTGTGCCATACTCCTGGAAGGGAAGGTGGTATATAAATCAGACCCAACTCTCCCTGTTATTTTAGGTATTGCCCTTCTGTTCGGTGACCATTATGTTAAATGACCTTATAGAAATAAACAGCAACTACTATCCATCTAGAATTGGGAGGTGGCTGATCTAATCCAGTTTGGGACCAGAGAAGATTGTTACCTGTCTCAGATAAAATACATGGAGAACAGAAACAGGTTAATTCTGGCCAGAGAGGAATCGAAGTAATAACAAATTAAAATTGTGAACAGCTCCACATAGGTGAAGAAGAAAGAGGATAAGAGAGCTGTAACCTAAGAGGACATAATTTTGGGGACAAGAAGGAGATGGGAAATAAAATGCCTTATATTGCCCAATGAGCAAACAGGTGCTTCCTGCTAATCAGCTGCTCTGCAGGTAATGGGTTAGTATCTTCTGTGTGTCTTATTAGCACTATCTTTTCTTGGTTCAGTGTGAGAAAGCCAAGTTCAAATACTTGTTCAGCTCAGTAGGTGGTCTTGTGCAAGTAATTGTAATGTAACTTCAGAATTGTTATGAGTTTAAAATATACACACACATTGCTTCTTGGAGAACAGATAGGATACGGATGTAATAAAGGAGCAGAATAGATCCAGAACTACTTTCCCCCCTGCCTTTTCTTTTCCTTGAACCATTTAACTTTTCTTCTATACATGGCTTCTATCTTATCTCAGGTGAACTTTATTGCTTTGAAGGACTCTCACTAGGCTTATGTTTAATCTAACGCTGGAATTGCCTCTCAATAGTCATAAAATCTGAGGTGCTCCATCTTAGGATCAAACAACACACCAAGAGCAGCAGCCCAAAGTGATCTGGACTGTCCGACATGTGAACCTACTAATAGTCACAGAGGCTGTAGCTCAAGGACAGAGAACATGCATCGCATGCGAAAGGTATCAGGGTGTATGACATCTCCAGTTGAACAACTGCCAATCAGACTAAGCAGCACTGGACTAAGTGAAGGTATTCAGCTAAATTCTACTTCGGGGAGACCCACTGAAATAAACAAATTTAGTAATGGGTCTACTCTGAGTAGGACTAGTGTTGAATAACCCCTATAATCTGGTGGTATAGGCAATGCCGTTTCTGGGTGAGGATTCATTTTAAGTTATCCAGAAGACATTGCCTCGTGTCCACCCAGCATAGAACAAAATAGACTGTGCTTCAACCCATGTCACTGGAGAGGTTGAAAGTGACCTGAGAGGCAACCCAAAGCAGCCCTGGCTGTTGAACCCAGCAAGCGAAGGTAAGGCTGACAATAGGAAAGGAAACAAGTTTCGACACTAAATCCTCTGGAGGATGTGATACCCAGGCATGTGCAAGCAGGACTCACTTGGACCAGGCTTCAGCACATAGCATGGCAGCAGCCCATTACTCTAAATGCCAGAGAGGAAGTCACACCCAAGAAAGCTATTTTAATCTTCATAGCAATGTTCCCTTTCTTGTCATTTGGATCAGTACTGATCGTGGCTTATGTCCCAGCTTTCATGATGTACTTCTATATCATCCCACTATGCCAGTATAATGCCAAGGCCAAAGCTTCCATTGATTTGGGTGAACAATTGCCTACCTATAATGACAAGATAGTAAGGTAATTAGCATGTCAGTGTTCTCTTTAGGCAGGGTGATCACAGATTTGACTCATTCTTTAGAACATGTTGGTCCATTCTATTCCAGTAGAATTGTTCAATTGAAGTAAAACTGTGGAGCTACTGTTGAAGCAAGAGATTTATTTAATTTGTATACAACTGCACATTTGTTAAAAGTGGAAAAGTAGCATCAACATGTATAATTAAATGCATAGAAACTGGAATTGTAGAAGGCCACATTCTATACTGGGATTCTGATTTTTTTTACTTTAAAAATATTAATGGGAGACTCCCCAAAGGTTTCTGAAATATTATTAAATGGGGTGGGGAAAAGAATGTAAATGATTGTGTCTATTTTCTTTAGAACCATTATCTGCTGCCAAGAAAAAATAGTACTGTACAGTGGTACCTCGGGTTAAGTATTTAATTCGTTCCAGAAGTCCGTTCTTAACCTGAAACTGTTCTTAACCTGAAGCACTATTTCTGGGTTAGCAGAGTCTGTAACCTGAAGCGTATGTAACCTGAAGTGTATGTAACCTGAGGTACCACTGTAGTCTAATGCTTCAGTCTAAAACATATTGCACTGACTAGGCCCCACAAATGAAAGCAGGACATTTCTAAGTAAATATGCACTGATTTGTGCTGAACAACCTATAAATAACACATAATGTGGAAAGAAACCTCTCAGTGCTGTAGTGTCTATCCATCTCCAGAACTCAAACTCTCTTCACAGAGAACTCTTGGAATTCTAACTCAATGAGGGGAATAGGAGTCTTCCAACAATTCTCAGCACCCTTAACATACAGCTCCCAGACTGCACTGGGGAAAGCCATGGCTGTTTAAAGTGGTATAATAGTGCTTTAAAGGTATGGTGTGAATGTTGCCCATGGCATCTTCCCCCAAAGAATTCTGGGAACTGCAGGGTGTTGGGAATTGTAGCTCTGTGAAGGGTCTTCCTAATGACTCTCAACTGTCTTAACAAATTACAGTTCCCATGATTTGTGCTAGAGGAGGAAGTCATGATTGTTATAGCCATGAGTAGGCAAGCTAAGGCCCGAGGGCCAGATCTGGCCCAATTGCCGTCTAAATCTAGCCTGCGGACGGTCCAGGAATCAGCGTGTTTTTACAGGAGTAGAATGTGTCTTTTTATTTAAAATGCATCTCTGGGTTATTTGTGGGGCATAGGAATTTGTTCATATTTTTTTTCAAAATATAGTCCAGCCCCCCCCCCCAAGGTCTGAGGGACAGTGGGCCTGCTGAAAAAGTTTGGTGACCCCTGGTTATAGCGGTATAAGAGTGCTTTAAATGTATGCTGTGGATGTGACCTCTGTTTTGTTCTGTTTCTTACTAGAGGGAGTTGGGTATTTTTTTTTACAAAGACCAATGCTTTGAGCTCGAAGAGGGAAATAGGGACTAACATCAATCTCCCAGTGCTGTTCAGAGGCCTGCTCTGCATTTCAGACCAGACACACTGCTGTAACCGTGAACTATCTCTACCATACCCATCACACAGTTCTGCTTAGAAGGAATAATGAAACATAAAGTTTATGACGACACACTTTTATTTTTTGCTAACCAACAACACTGATACATTTTTTTTTCAAAAAATAAATAAATTCTAGTGATTCCCTGTGCAGACTGTGCATTGTAATCCTCACAGCCTGGCCTAAAAAACTATAGTTACGGGTTGGAGGGTGATCTGAATCCTGGTTGTGTGTGTGTGTTACACTTGTCCAACTACAGTAGTTTAACCCACTCTAGCAGCTGTGGGACTCTAACAGCCACACACACATGGCTGTTAAGAGTGGGACAGACAAGTTGGACAAGTGTTACCTGGAAGATTGGCTTTTGTTGGCAGAATCACTGGCCTTTGCCTAACTTAAGGAAATGACCACAGATTCCTTCTAGAAGGGGACATGTCCTCATTTCGCCTCCCTGTGGGGGATGATGTCATCCAGCTGTTTCTGTGTGAACTGAGACTGCAGTTTGGGTGGGTGGCAGGGGTGAACATACTGAAGAGGCATAGAGACTCAGGGGGCAGTTATTTGCTCTCTGTAAGAAAGACATTTGGATGCACATTGTACCCCTGCAGTTCTCACCACTGGGAATTTGGGGTATGTCTGTGTAGCAACAGTCTAAAAATATTATTTCACCAATGAATTGGCCCTGTTTGGCCCTAAAAGGTTTCCCTAAATAATACTATTTTTGCATCCATTCCGCTAATCTCCCTTGGCAGCAACTTGACTTTTGAGTAATTTCTGTGATTCATAGCCAGCAATGAGTTTCGGTTGAGAAAACATTGATGTGAAAGTGGAGCTTCCAAATTCCTTTATGATAGTGGCAATGTTCTTTCTCTTTTCTGACAGTGCGACAGCAACATGTTATTCCTAATACAAATGGCTTTGTTTTCTCTAAGCACATACTTTCAATTCCAGTTCATTAACGTCAAAAAAATATGCAAGAAACAATTACATAGAAGGCAATGATTTTTTCTTCTTCTTTTGGTCAGGACCAAAGAGGACAGCTGAATGTTAAGAAAGTCAAGGGTTTCTTTTCTTGGCATAATCTACAGTGTTTTCAGAGCTGTATATTTTAAGAGCTTCCCTTTAGGATGGCTGCATAAATTGGTGTGTTTGTTATTACCATATGCAAATTATGCTTTTCCATCCACACAAAGCACAGTAACAAAGGTTGCCCTTGGGGTGTCTAGCCTCACTGAAGAGCTGCAGTTACAAATAAAATAAAATCATAATATTGGTACACTTCACACTGCAGTTTCCAAGTCTGACAGATTCTCAGTGTGATAAATCTGGAGCTGCTTGCTGTACTTGGTATGCTGAAAATAGATATATGACTGCAGTTTCACATTATGCTGCTGTAAGGTCAACCGTTCTAGTACAAAAAATACTTTCATGAAATCAGGGGGGGAAATCACCTTTAACAATGACACTAGGACAAAGATAGATTTTACCTTTAAAACTTTTTTTGTCTAAACAGATGAGTAATTTGAAACATAAACTTACAATTAATGAGGACAGACAAAATATGAACACTAAAAACTGATATCAAAACTACTGATCTAACCCAGAGAAGTCCTTAATTAGAGGGGAGAAGCAGAATATTTCTTTTCCCCACCCTATGATTTATTGTGGAAAACCACATACTCCGTTCCAGTGTGGCCAAGCCACCCCCCCACCCCCCGCTGTAGTGTAAATGTGTTTCATTGGCTCCTGTCCTGACCTCTCTGTGGTGTTACAGTAGCACAGTAGGATTCTGTACTGTACAGGTTTCACAGCGGAACTCCTTGTGATGCTGCTGCAACAGTGGTTAGTTTCCTTGTTGTATCCAGTTGTAACAGTTCAGGAGCGGAATGTCTATAAACTCTCATAAAGAAAGAATTATCTTCTGTAAGTTGACTTTAAACATTTATGAGCGTCACGTGATGTCAGAAGCTTGCATTTACACAAGTCAAATAATATACAGTAGTAGTATTCTCCTCCATGAGTGAAGCTACTGTAAGATGTCCTGCTACAGTATTCCTTAGAAAGAAAGCCCTTTATATTCCCCGTCCCAGGGATCTAATGTCAGTTCTTCCATGTACTCTGGAAATCAGAGGCATAGCTCATTTATTCACCTATGCTCTGGTGCCTATCCTCAGATGCACTGTCCTCATAGTGCCCCAATTATGAGGATTGTTCCTCTCTGCTGTTGCCAATTTCATGGCACCCCTATTTGGTATTCAGTCTGTGCTGCAGCAAATATCAGACAACCTTCAGTTTCTATATGGACCCAGGGAATTCAGCATAGGGTATTTTGTTCTTTATGAATAAAAGTGAGCTGAGAAGTTTGTTTTACAGTACTGTATAGCACTTCCTCACTGGAGAAGTCTGCTGTGCACTACAACAGTCTGATATAAACCAGTTCCTGCCATCTAGTGGTCAAAAAACAAAAATTCATACAGTAAACCTTTTTTCTGATGGAAAATAAAATAATTTTCAAACATCTAAAAGTTATCCAGTGACAATTATATTCTTAAAAATGGTTCTGAGTGCTATATAACCAACTGAACTAAATCTAGTAGGATGTAATTTGTGCCAAAATAATTTGGCACCTTTAAAACAAAATCAAGTGTAGTCTGCAGATTGAGGTTTCAAATGAATTTGTTTCCATTATTTCTACATCTCATACCTGGCTGTTATCTTACAAGACAGCAGGCTGTTAAAAACACTTCTTGTTACTGTAAAAGGCACCTATGTTTATACCTAAACTATGGAACCCTTAATCTTATTAGGCTTTTCGTATGATGAATAGTGATACCTCAAGCTTTACTCAGAAGTAAGTCTGCCTGAACTCAATGTGTTTATTCTTTGGTTAACTGTGTTTAGGATAGCAGCTGCTTGCTTCAGTCTCCTAATTTAATGTCACGTTATAAAAATAATAATGAAAGCCTTAAAGAATAGGTAGTGTATCCCAGTCAACAAACAAACCCAGTCAAAGGGGACTGATTCAGCCTTTGTCTCCATCACTACTACAGATTGCCTGGAAGGTTGCATTTGGAGAGCAGTTTTCACCCTAACCCCTTTTAGAGCCAAACTATTGGCTTCTTCCTTCTGCCTCACGGGCTCTCCTGCAAAAATCGAATAGGCTGCTGGACCAGGCCAGGGGCCAATTTAGCATTCTCTTTTCAGAGTATTCAATCAAACGCCCGTGGGAAACTGGGAAGCAGGACCCAAGCACAAGAGCACTCCCTCATCCTGGAGGGGAGCAACTGGTATTCAGAAGCAAAGCTGCCTCCCAATGTGGAGACAGAGCATATCCATCATGGCTAGCAGTCATTAATAGCCTCCTCCTCCTCCATGAATTGGTCTAGTTTTCTCTTCTGCAGCGATGGGGTGATGGATCCAATAGGTTTCCAGACGGCTCTGCAAAATCCTTTTTGAGATGAGGCGACACAGCATTCCAAGTGCACCATAGAATACCAGCGCACCTCTACCCTGTGCGTGTTTACTCGAGAGTAAGCCCAACTGAGTTCAATAGGCCTTACTCCCCAATAAGCGCTCACAAAAGACTGCAGCCTTTGGAACTTATAAACAGCACTGAGAATAAAGATCGAAGGGCGCAAGAAGGAGGTTTACAGCTGGCTCTGTTTTCCGCGCAACAGACACCCGCAACCAACGAGGAAGGAGGAGCCGTCCTGCCGGAATGACCCTGAACCACAGAGAGAGAAAGTTACCCACCATCGCTAGCTAACCTTTGCATTACACTGAGCCGGTTTCCCCCTCTGAATTCCAAGGCAAAGTACTATAGAGTTTCCACCTTGGAGATATCAGAAGCCTAGAGCGCCGCTGCTCTGCATCGGCGGACCCTCTCCATCCCTGACAGAAGTTCACGCAGAGTATCACTCTACTATTTCTATCGCTCCGCCTCGGCTCTAGTCCCCGCCTTTCCCTTGGGAAACTCCCCAATCAGAAAAGAGTTTGTTTTCCCATCGGCTCCTTGGGTCGGGACCATAGAGATAGGAACGAATACCTAGAAGTCGATGAGCGGCAATACACGAAGGACCCGCCGTTAAGGTGAAAGGTCGGCAGGAAGAGCCGCTCGCAGACTAGCGGAAGTGTTTTCGTCACTTCCGTGCTTTTTCTTTTTAGAGCTTTGGCGGGCACACGTGCTGCCTGCGAGTAATTTTTTTGTTGCCGCAGCCGCCCTTAGGTTGGTCTGGTTGCTATGGTGAGTGGAAATGTGTCTCTGTCGCGCGTGAGCTGAGCCGCGACGTGGGGGAGGTTGGCAGCTCGCGAGTCCCAGGCGAGTCTGCGGACGGGAGGCGAGGGAGAACGAGAGGAGGGTCGTTCCTTGGGAGGGGGGGCAGGGTCGCTGGGACGGGCACGTGCTTGGCATTCAGAGGTCCAGTCCTTGGCATGCCCCGCTTGGGGGGGGGGGCTGGACGAGGAGGTTGTACAGTGGTACCTCGGGTTACAGACGCTTCAGGTTACAGACTCTGCTAACCCGGAAATAGTACCTCGACTTAAGAACTTTGCTTCAGGATGAGAACAAAAATAGTGCGGCGGCAGCGGGAGGCCCCATTAGCTAAAGTGGTAGCTCAGGTTAAGAACAGTTTCAGGTTAAGAACGGACCTCCAGAACGAATTAAGTTCTTAACCCAAGGTACCACTGTAAGATGAACTCGCAAACAATATAAAAGATATAATCGTATTTTAAATATAATATAGACAATTCATTCTACAATCCTAAAAAGTGAAACAGTCCTGAAAATGTGATGGCACTTACTGTACGTCGCAAGCCCCCCGCGATGATGCTCCTTTTCCTGTCCCGCGCAGAGTCTGCCTCTCAATCCCAAGCCCTTCCTAAACGGGCTGACTGGGAAGCCAGTGATGGTGAAGCTGAAGTGGGGTATGGAATACAAAGGCTACCTCGTCTCCGTCGATGGCTACATGAACATGCAGGTAAGCAAGGTTGGCTGGCGGGGAGCTTGCACGATCGCTCTTTAATTAACGTGCACGGTTGCTTTAAATATTAGATGCTCTTTGAGCATTTTTGAACAAGGTTGGAAACTTGTAGTGATGTAATTCAAGGTGACAATTCACAGCAAAGATAGCTTTAAAAAAGAATTTTTCCTAGCACTGGACACAAAGCATCCCCCTGTAGCATAAAAAGTTTACAGAAAAACGGTTAAACGGCTTCTTGGTGTGTGCACAGAAAATCCAGTCAAGAGTGTGCCTTTGTCTGGGGAGGCTATTTTGTAGCCCCTATGCCATTTGGACATTTTAAGGTACAGCATTTAGTAGCTGCTGCAGCAGGGAGAAAACACTCACTGATGTGTCATGCCTGTGTATTAAAAAAGAACCACAACCCAGCATTGTAGAATATGTGGTCCTGAAATGCAGAACGCAGTGGGAAACACAAATTGTCACGTTGATGACATTGAAGGAATTTTCAACGTCGATGTTGTAAGTCATGATGTTCAGTGTTATTCTAAGTACTCTTCATGTCACCCAGTGCTAAATGCTATATCTAACTGAAGCCTGAGAGTGTCTGGTCCAAGGTCACCCAGTGAGCTTCATGGCCGAGTGAGGATTTGAACCCAGGGGCCTAGTGTGGCATTCTGACCATGCTAGCTCACAGGCAGTATAAAATATCAGTATACTCTCCTTTAACATAGAAACAGCAGTATAAAATGCAGGTGTAAATTCTTACTTAAAAGGAAAGAGAATTTCTTGTACACAGTTTCACCTCAAACTCAAAACTATGTACTGCTTCCCCCCATTTTCGAGCCTTCTCACTGTTTTTGTCTACTGTCATTGTCAGCAAGGGATTTTTATTCACTTGTCTACTGCTAACTCAGGGTGGATTGGTTTGAAATAAAGATGATTTAATCAGGCTGATTATCTGAATAAAGAGTGCATACCAACAGTGCAATACTATGCATATCTACTCTGAAGTTCAATGGGGCTTACTCCCAGGTAAGTGTGTATAATGATTGCAGCTTAATTGTTTGATAGAACGTTAGTGGGGTGGGACCACTGCTCAGCGGTACAGCTTCTGTTAGGCATGTAGAAAGTCTGCGGTTCAGTTCCTGGCATCTTCAATAAAATGGATCTTGGGTAGAAGTTAATGGGAAAAAGCAGCTGTTCAATGTAGATAATATTAGGCTGGATCAACAAAAGCTTCGATGGTAAGGTGATTTTATATAGATTTCAAACTTTAATAAACAAGCCTTTATTCTACCTAGGAGTATAATCTGACATTTCTAATCATGCAGATCTTATTACTTTGCATTACATCATTTTGTATATGAAAGGACAAATTCTGAAATCTGGTTTTCTATGCATGTGCAAGGATTTTTCAAGATTAGGAGTCTTATTTTGAAAAACAGTGACCATTTTGCCCATAACTATAACTCTAAACTAGATTGCTGCCTTAACTTCAATGAAGTAAAGCAGACAAAACTAATTTTGCCTATGTTGTTTCATAGCTATTACATTTGACAGCAACCACACTTTCCCCATAGCCTTTGACTTTAAATCATTGTGTGATAGTTTTTAGAATTTAATTGTAAAAATTTGTCATGTTTGTGTTAAATTTCGGTTTCGCTTAAAAGCAGACAGGCCATTTTAAAAAAGTGACCTTTCATATAACTTTAATTGGTTTACCTTTAAGATGTTTTTATTTAACACTGCTGCAACCTCTACTCTCTTCCTCTATAGAAGTCATTATACTAGTCTGTATTTAGAAGCTTTGTTTACTTTTACTTGTTCTTCAGCTCACTTCTCTCATTTCTGTACCTTTATATATATTGCTTGGTCAAAAGAGAGAATGGCCTCCCACATTGATTGGGTACTAGGGAAAGCAGGTTAGTATTCCAGTTCTATGTATTTTATGCAGAAGTAAGTCCTACTGAATTCTGAAGGGCTTACTTTCAGATAAACATTGCGGCCACACAGGACTGGGCTGCCCAAATAACAGAGGAACAAAGGGAAGACCTAATGTATTGTGCTAATTTCAGCAATAAATATGGACTTCAAAGGGATACTTTATTGCATCTCAAACTGTTCAGTGTAGTTCTAGCTATTTACAATAGATGCTCGCTGTCTGGGCAAGCAGTTGGCTGTACATCTGTCTGCAAATCTATATTTAGGCTTTTGGTGCTTCTCCTTGAGCTTTTCCAACCCAGCTGGTCATCAGAATAACTTGTAACTATTAATCTCCTTCCAAATCTGTTTTCTTTTTGTGCTCATATTTTTAGATTGTAAGCTTGAGCACACAGATTGCCTCATTTCAGTTATCTGTAAGTCACTTTCAAAGCCTTTTTTTGGTTGAAGAGTGGGATAAAAATGCTTTAAATAGATAAAAATACAAAGTGCTGGATTTGCAAGTAACAAGAACCATAGCTCAATTATTTGGATTCTATAGCTGTCACTCTGCAAAGTTTGTGAAAACAAGAGGCTGTCCTTAAACAGTGCTATATATAAAAAGAATTAAGAAAAGATAATTTAGGATATCAGGGAAAGATGAAAATAACTTGTAAGGAACTGCAGAAAGAGGGGGAGGGAATTCAAGGCTTGAAATGTTAAAATTATTGTTGAACGACTTGTGAAATGTTTTTCTTTTTGTTATAATCTAAAATTATAAAAAACAACAGTGCTATATTCATGACTTAAAGAGAACTATTAACACAGAGTAGGATTAAGGCATGCTTTTTTGTTTGCTGAAGGGATTCTGATCCAGTGGAAGCAAATATTTAATGTTTGAATTTATATTAGATGTAAGAAAGTCTTGTGGAAAACCTCTATTGGTATAGGAACATATGCTATCCTTTGTAGCTTTTTTTCCTTATAAAATTGTGTCAATTTTTTTTTTAAGCTTGCAAATACAGAAGAATATATTGATGGTGCATTATCTGGACACCTTGGTGAAGTTCTGATAAGGTAACTAACATTACAATTAACGGTATTTACATGCTGTGTCTGCGCACACACACATGTGCATGTTAAAATCCATTAATTAGAATATTAAAATATTGATACCAGAAATTTATACTACTTAAAATGCAACATGAAGCAGACTAACTTTGGTGAGAAGAAATTATTTCAGGTGTTCTCTGAAATCTGTGCCATCTTTCTGGTGATGGAAGGAATCTCAGTGGAAGAGGGGAGGGGCAATTTTTAGCAATTACTGTATTTTCCCCGTCTATAAGACAAGGTTTTTTACCCAATTTTAAAGGTTTGAAAACGTGGGTCGTCTTATCCATGGAATGTAGCAAATAAATAAATACAGTACTAGCAGTCACAGATCCTGGCAGTGGCAAGCCACGGGGCCTCCATAGTCTGCTTGCCTCCTCCCACTCTGCGCGCCCTACAGATGGGAGGGAGGCTGTAGGCAGTCCGTTTTTGCTGTGTGCCATCTTCGCATGGCTCCATTTGTGTGTGGGCAGCGCAATGTTACACAGGAGGAACACGGCGATTGAAGTAAGATCCCCACCTCTGCGCCTTTCACATCAGCGAAACATTGCGCAGGAAAGGTGCTGCCGCTCAAGTTGGACGCAGCGTTTGAAGATCTCTCCCCCCCCCATGCGCCTTTCTTGCGAGGCATTCTTAGTCTGCTTGCCTCCTCCCACTCTGCCTGCCCTACAGCTGTGGGGGAGGCTGCGTGCAATCTGTTTTTTCTGCATGGCGTCTTACACAGAAGGAGCACAAGGTGCGATGTTTCACTGATGTGAAAGGCGCAGGGGGGCAGTATTACATCAATCGCCGCACTCCTCCTGTCTAACGTTGCGCCGCCTGCACACAAATGGAGCCGCGCAAAAACACTGCACAAAAACGGACTGCCCACAGCTTCCCTCCCGGCTGTAGGGCAAGCAGAGTGGGAGGAGGCAAGCAGAATATGGAGGCCCCGCGAGATAGGTGAAAAGTGCTAAAAGTAATTGGGAGGGGGAATTCACCACTCTTCCATCCCCCCCAAGAAAGCTCAGCTTCCCCCCACCAAAGCTCAGTGATTGCTGGCAAGGGAACAGCCGATAGGTGGCATGTTAGATGTGCGTGGGGCTGTTAGCCTCTGGGGATCCTCCCCCCCCCCCAAAAAAATTCAACAAGTCAGGGCAATTTCCCCCATTTTCTTAATTTAGAGTCCCCCCCAAGTAGGGGGCATCCTACATGAGGGCGTCCAATACACGGAAAAATATGGTATTCAGATTGCTGCACCTCCTCTCAGTATGTTGCAGGGGGTTTCCTGTCTCACTGACAGTGTAATTGTGATGGGTGAGATGGCAGAGAGCACTGAAAATTGTCTCAGTTCCCTGTACCAATGGATTACTTCTGTCAGTAGAAAGACAGTACAATGGTCCCTTGGTTTAAGAACAGCTTAGTTTATGAACAACTTGGATTAAGAACACTGCAGAGCCGGAACTAGGTGTTTGGGTTTGTGAACTTTGCCTTGGAAGCAAAACATGTTCCGCTTCCTGTTAAGTGTGTTCCATTTGTAAATTGAGTCCCCTGCTGCTATGGGAAAGCACGCCTTGGTTTAAGAATGCTTTGGTTTAAGAATGGACTTCCAGAACAGATTAAGTTCATAAACCAAGGTACCACTGTACTGAATACTACCTGTATATAGAGTTGCTTTATTATTTCTTTCTTATGCAACTGAAAGAGAAGCATTTGTGTAATAGTAAACCTATAAAGTTTAGTATTTAAGCCTACGCCAATGATAGCAATTGGAAAAGAAATTGTAACAAGATGTATGCAATGAACAAAGGTAATTTTTTATTTATTACCAATTAATTGAACATAGCAGCAAACATAGAATACTTCAAAATAACTTGGTATATGAAATAGAGGGGATATGTAACTGGCTTTAGAAAACAATCTTCTAAACTCATGTGGATCACAGCAAAACTAAGTAACTTTTGGTTTGATTTGCAGGTGCAATAATGTCCTTTATATAAGGGGTGTGGAAGAAGAAGAAGAAGATGGAGAAATGAGAGAATAATTATTTTGGGGGGAAAGTTGTTGTTTTTTGACTGTGCTAAGAAATTTAGTTGTCCAGTTTTGTTTGCTTGCTTTTTTTGTCAAGTTTTGTCAAGTAACATTTTTTATGGCCAAACAATAAACATTGTCATTGAAGAAAAATTACCACTATGGAAGAAAAATAAACATACTATTTCCGACAGTTCTTAATGGATAATTATATTATAGTCAAACAAATATGTATTTTAAAAGGAAACTGGATCAAACATCTGTCACAGTTTACCTACTATAACTCTGCTAAACAGAGCTAGAATCAAGATCTAGTGCTATTCCAAAAAGAGATGTCATGAAACAAGAAGAATTCAACAGAAATAGTAATCATCTTCACTTTTTGTAGTTAAATCTACAACTTGTACCCCTTTTTGTTTAGCTTCTGGCGGCTGGGAGCGGAAAACCAGTTTTCTTCCCACCTAAAATGAAGACAGAAAATATAAACCTACTTTGTTAAATCAGCATGAAAGTTTTTCTTCGTAAACTTTTTTCTATAATACAGATTCTAGATTCTTTTTAACATGCACACTATCACCATGTTGCAGTATGCCCCTAACCATTTTTACTCAGTATTGGGTACTACTGAGTTCAGTAAGATTTACAGCCTAAGATATATTTTTAAGCACTCCTACTAACCCTTGTCTTTGGTACTGCAATTGCTCTTTCCAGAGCATGCTTCAGCCGTTCTTCCTGGATTCTCTTCAGTTCTTTCAATTTATCTTCACGAACTCTTTTAAGAATCAGAGAGAGATTTTAGGAATTAGAGGACGTTAGTATATTGTGAGAGGGAAGTGTCCACATCTTCTCCCTCCAGTGATGCAGCCTTGAATTGTGCCTATGCTTGTAAAATTCAGCATTACTGTGGTAACAAAAATGAGGGAGCTAGAGACAGTTCTGTTCACAGAATTTCTAAGGGATAAACTAGTTGCAACACCGTTCGCACTGTGAGCAATTGGTGAATTGATTAAAAGTGGCTGATCCACTTCAATTCTTTCCCTCCTGCTCCAGCCTTAGTCTGAATTGTTGCACTAGTGTCTGCTATTTGAATTGAGAGGAAAGCACTGGCAATAACTGTATTGCTAGAAATAGCAAGCCCCAGGGACCGGGCCTGGATTGACACCTCCATGTCTGCTATTTACCCAGATCCTACGTAATTGCTAAATTATGTGAATGATGTTATATGTCTAGTCTGGCCCTAAGAAGGTGGGACAACTAATAGTCACTTATAAAATACTTATAATACTAGGGTGGGGATGTCCATCTAAACAGAAATCTTTTTCACTTTGTGAAACTCTAATGCCTATAGGCTAAAAACTGGTGACTGTTGTCTCAAAAGTTTGGTCCAGAAGATAGTGTTGCAAACTCAGATGTGACTAAGTGATGGGAATACATAACTGGCATACTTCTTTAAGCACTGGCATTAAGATTACCTCTGCCGTCTTTGTTTTGCTCGGAGTTTCTCCATAGTTTCAACAGTCTCAAGGTATTCCGGTGGAAGTATTTCCAACATCTCACACAGTTCTGAAACTCTGATTTCTATTGCTTTCAGCATTTGAAAGGCGGTCATGCTAGATACTTCAATCGTTCCACAGCAAGCCCTATACACCTCTGTTATTTTTTTCTTAAGTGTATTCAGCGATTTATCCTTAAGATTTAAGAAAGGGATTTTATGTAAACCACAGCAAATGCTTACGTTATACTAAACAAAAAAAGGTCTACACTGAAACTTTAAAATAAGATGAAATCGCAAGCAATATAAAATATATAATCATTTTTTAAATATAATATAGAAAATTCATTCTACAGTCCTAAAAAGGGAAACAGTCCTGAAAATGTGATGGCACTTATTCAGCACGTAAGGCAAAACCGTAAGAGAATTGGCAGAATAAGGCACACGGATTGCAATGTTAAGTCAATGCAGTGTTGAATGTCAAGTAGGATTAAATCTAATAAAGGCACAAATAAATCTAATAGTTCAATGCGTTTCTGAGCTTCTGGGGGCTCTCCAGGGGGGAAAGTGTTTTTACAATACTATAGGGACATAATTCCTGTAGATCCCTCCTCCAAATCATTGTCATTGGAGTACCCTGTGAAAGTAACTTCCTGCAATTAGAAACTAAACCAGCTCAGGGAGTCCCTGATACGCCTTGAAATGTCTTGTTAATGGTGCAACTCAGAACTAGGAGAACCCCTGAATCACAGATGGAACTGGTGCACATTCCTGTTTCCAGTATATGCCTACACCACTACTTCTGTGTCCACTTTTGGGGCACCAGGTAGGATGTCAGTGTTGGGCTCCCTGGTACTGTATCCCCTAGCTATACTGGCCTTGGTTCAAACTGCTACACATAGGTAATGTGGTATCACATAGACAAATTGTGATACTTCTACCCAAGTCATTAGGGATAGTATTAAACTGAGTTTTACTCAAAGTAGACCGGTTGAAATGACCCTAATTTCAGTGGGTCTACTCTGAGTAGGAGAAGCACGGAATACCACTGGCGCTGTGGTCTTGTAGCCTGTCAGGGTTTTTAGAACAGAGCTATTCAATGTTATAAAGATTGTATAAACATACAAAATTACCATGGATATTGGATTATAGTCTCCGGAAGAAAACACTTTGATTTTTAATTCCAGTTCAGCACTTTTCTGTTCTTCTTTGAGGCGAGCAGCTATAAGAGCTTTTTTCTCATTTACTATATCATTTATCCTTTTTTCCCTATAAGAAAGGCTGTGAAAAGTTGTAACTAGTATTCAAAACTATTTTGTAGATTAGTTTTTCTGTGCAATAACCCAATTCTCATATTCTGGCTATTCTAGGCAAAGCAGCATTTTTATTCTACAGACTTGTAACAGGTTTAATAGGATTTGTCTCCCCAGGAAATTCTGTGAATCATAGTTCAGTGATGATGGGCAAAGATCTCTCAGAGCTTGTGCAAGTACTCCTACAAGATGATTAACACTTGTAAGTGGCCTACTTGTATAAACAGAATAGGTTCAAGGGGAGTGAGCTCATTAAAAATCACTCCTTGACTAGAAAAACCATTGTTTTTCTTTTTAAAAAAATTGAAGATACCTGTAAAACAACAGGGACTTACTTGTGCAAATGATGTTGATATTGGAGAAAACGTTTAGCATGGAAACACATATACATCTTAAATAAAAAGATGTAAAAAGACTGATGATGGCATTGAAATTGTTCAGATGCTTATGTTCCACCAATATTCAGTGTTAGAAACTCAGATATAAAATATAATCGCCAAATGGCCCCTTAAACCTAGGTTACAGTCACCACAATGAAATGTCTTGGTGCCTTTTTTTGCATTGAAATCTGCTAATATTATTATTCATTTCTATGCTGCTTTATATTTTAAAGAACAGATCTCAAAGCAGTTTGCAAGACATTAAAACATCAAATAAAACAATCCAGAATAAAGCAAATTCAAGCTTCAAGGCAAATTATTTCTAATCTTTCTGTAAGGGACACTTTGCTTTCCCCAGTTAACAGATCCCCACATGGTTGCAATTGGACCCACACCAATTGCAAAACACACCTGGCGCCTGGCTAATTTCTAACACTGCCAATAGTGTATGCTCCACTGTGGAACTAGTCCAGGCTGAAGTCTCCTAGAACTGCTGATTGGCTGTTCAAACTGGTCCATTAAGAAGCCATGGGTGTTCTGTTTAAGGCATAGTGCCCTAGTGCCCTACAGATGTTTAGGGCTATAACTTCCATCAGCCCCAGCAAGCATGGCCAAAGCCCAGGTCTGTGCAACTGTATCTGAAGAGTACCATATTGGTTATCTCCGATTTAAGGAATCAGTGTAAAGGCTTCAGCTGCTACCAACCTCACGCCTAAACTAATCCATGGTCTGCAGTTGTGGTGGGGAACAGAACATTCCCATCTCATTCCATCAAAGCCACTTCACTCTCCTCTTTTGGAGCCCAGCAAAGCATTCCCTGAATTGATGAGATTTCTGCTACACATTAACTCTACTTCTGTCTTTACAAAGTTCTGTCCTCTTGTCATGTTAGTTTTCTATATAGTGGCAAACACATTGGCTTCACTAAACAAATATGTAGTAGTCGTGTTAGTAGAAGGGAAGGGGACCCACTTTGTACCCGAGGAGGAACAGAAGCAGCATATTTCAAAACGTTTCACTTAAACTTACATTCCCTGAACAATGGCGTGTTCTCTCTGCCTTGCGTCTTCTAGTGTTCCACTGAGATCTTGAATATTTTGAAACAGTGATAGATTTTGTTCCTCAAGATGCCTGTACATCTGAAGCAACTCATCTGGATCTTTGAAATATATCTCTGGTTCCTAATGCAGGAGAAGGAATACTATAGAGTTGCTGAAAAATGAGTCATATCAATGCAGTTGCAAACAGTTCTTGATAAAATAAAAATTGTTAAAAATGGGAGGGGAGATTTTTAACGCTGGGCTGCATTAGGTATGACAGATTGCACTTGCCTTGCTACTAAATTTTAACAAAAAATGTTAAAAATTATTGTCCAAGTGAAGGCCAATTCACAAGTTCTTTTTCTGCTGCACGTTAATCTCAGAACACTGCCTTGAAGCCAGATTCCCTTATGCAAGTCCACAGCATACTTGCAGGTATGAATACGAATATGCAAATTCTTGATCTAGAGGGCCAAGAACACTGAAATCTACACAGAAAGTTCCCTTAGGCTGAAATTTACATTTCAACATACGGATGGAATCCATACATGCAGGAATCTTACAGCCATGCTTGCGGCCAGTGGCTACCTCCTAGCAGTTTTGGCCCAGAGGTTGTGAAGATGTTGTACAATTGAATGAAAAGCAACAAAAGGTCCCATTTTTATAGGATGCTGTTGTATTTAACAAAGATTAATTCATCACCTCGTCAGTGTCTAGATCTTCAAGCGAAATATCATCATCTGAAGAGGCAGAGATACTTTTTTCACTTGCACAGCTGTTATAAAAGGAAAAAATTAATTCAGATTTGTGTTTATACATTGAAGTTTGCCAAGTCAGTGCTCAGTGGTGGAAGGAACGTTGTGTTTGATAAAATCGAGACCTTGTTCTTTGTAAGCCCAGGCTAACCAACATGCAGTGCTCCCAATGATGTTATGATTCCAACTCCCCGCAGTCCCCGCTGACACTCTAGTTCACATGCCAGTAGCCAGGGGGATGATAGATGGGAGAGCTGGCGCCCAAAAGCAGAATTGTACAACTACAGTGGTACCTTGGGTTACAGATGCTTCAGGTTGCATGTTTTCGGGTTGCGCACTGCGCAAAAACCCGAAAGTACCGGAACGGGTTACTTTCAGGTTTCAGCGCTCGCTGCGGGTTGTGAATGTGCCTCCCGCACGGATCACGTTCGCAACCAGAACGTCCACTGTACTTCCACGTGCCCCAAAGGGATAAGCGCTTCTCTTTCTTGAAGAGAAGCTCTTTATGATACATCTGCAACCCGAAACGGAGAGAACTTTTAAAAGCAATTAAATTTCATAGAGTACCTTGCTAGCGATTTTTTTCTCCCTTCTATTGAGAATCTTTTGCTCAGTGATAGTCTTGATGCCCTCTTAAAAAACCTGTAGTCGCCTCCTTAAAAAATTAACAAGTCTGTATTATTACCTTTATTCGGCAACAGGGTTATAAGAACTATATTACATATCTTACATTATTTTCATTAATATCGGAGTGCCTATCCTGTGGCCAACCAGATTTTGCTGGGTTACAATTCCTAATTGTAACGCTGGGTGGGGTTGCTCTGAACTGGAGTCCAGCAACATCTGTAGGGCCACAGCTTAAGACACCCTTGCCTTATATTAAAGACAGGATGTGGAGCTGCCTTAAAGAAAGACATCAGGATCCTGCATACAAGTATTCGTTGTGCAGCTAGTGCCTGTTAAACTTTGCCCAAATGAACTGTTGCCTGTATTCAGAACTAGAAAGGCATCCTTGCCACTAGCATTTACCATGGAGGGGGAAGATAAGGGCGTGGGGGTATTTTGTCTGCCTTAACTTATTTCGCCCTATCATTCCTTATGTATCACTTCCTGAGTTTTGCTTAGATAAGAGGTGGTCCCTGATCCCATTTGCCATAATGTGAGTGGCTGAAATTCCTTATCACCTTCCTTCAGCTACTCTCTGTGAGCAAGCTCCAGTCGACACTTAAATTACAGAGCAGAAGCTTCCCTGGTGGAAAAAGCGATGTATTCCCTCAAACTTTTGCTGTACAGATGGGCAATGGGAGGCGTATGATTCACAGCACACAATTTAAGGCTCTTAGATCATATACAGCTGGGACACAATCCAATACTCAATATACTTTGGTGGCAGGGATGGTGGGACGAATTAGAGAAGCCCTGGTATTCCATCACAAGCCCAAATATGTCTCTCCCAATGATGATATGCCAGCAGAACGTCACAGATATACCGGTACTGCTCCATACTGGCAGAGTGGCCAAAATGTAGTGGAGGGGGGCGGGGGAGACTGATCCCATCCCCAACACTGGCATAACATTATGCCAACTTCAGAAGTGGGGGTGGGGAATCAAAAGCTGCATACAGAAGTTAGCAGAGGGGAAAGCTCCATTGCCTGCCCCATTTCTGACTGCCCTGGCTGGCAATGGTGGATAAGGCATTTGGTCGAATCCTTAGTCTGTTCCCAGGAGGTGATGCATCACCGCCTTTGATCAAGTGCAATACCTCAGGGTACCCCTGGGGATCTGGGAGGAAGACTCTGTCCAGAAGCCCAGATGGGGAGTGGGTGTTTCATGGCTGAGTGGAGATTTGAACCTGGTCGAATGCTCTAGCCCAGGGGTCAGCAAGGTTTACCTGCCATGGGCCGGATCACTCCCACGGAGATCGTCCGTGGGCTGGACTGGCACAGCGTGATACCAGAAATCGCGTCTGCGCATCTCTGTGGCGCCGGAAATCGCTTCTGCACATGCCCAGACGCTGGAAATCGTGCCTGCACAGACGCGATTTCTGGTATCTGCACATGCGCAGATGTGATTTCTGGCACCGCTTGGCGAGTGCCAGCGCTGCACTGGGGACTCGCCAAGCAGGTGGTTCAGGGCGGCTTGTGGGCCGGTAAAACAGTCTTTGTGGGCCGCATCCAGCCCATGGGCCACATGTTGCCGACCCCTGCTCTAGCCACTACACACCACTGTGGCTCTTGCAGCCCTTGCTCCATTCATAATGCGGTCCTGCCTGGAATATCTGGTGCAGGCAAAGATGATATTCCTACAAGAAAGTCCTTCTTCCCATTGGCTCCTTACCTTGGCTTTTCTGATGGTCTTTCTTCACATCAGTTTCAGAAAAAAATACTGACATCGATGATGAAGGTAGCAGTTTCTTGGGATGTTGTTGCCCTTTGACATGAGCCCATTTGTCTAAAGACGCGGTTCAAACAGCACAGAAATATTTGGTAGTAAGTAACTTGATAGGCTATTTATACACACCAGCTTGCTAAATCCAAACCAGAGTGGGACACACCCACACCATACTTTTAAAGCACTCCTACTGTATACTGGTTTAACAGTCATGACTTCCCTCAAAAAATCCCAGGAACTTTAATTTGTTAAGGGTGATGACAGCTAGATAGAACAAATGGTCTAACTTGGTATAATAAGACCACATCCTTCAAGTACCAGAGCCAAACTGATGGTGAGGGGAAAAGGAAGGAAGGAGGAAGGTTCACAGAGAGCAGAGACACCACTGTGAGGTAAAAGTTGGAGGGAAACAGTACAATAGACACAAAACAAAGGCTAGAAAGTTGTTGTTTTTTAAAATCTCTCTAATACAAGGTAAACGATGAGAAAAACCAAGGCTCCTAAAAAAACCAGTCACACCCAACCTTCACTGACTCTAGGCAGGACCAGTCAGACCCTGAAGTGGAAGAGAAGGCAGAAGGCTGACAAGGACTGCCATCCCATCAGTTGGGAATGTCGAGTTTGCATCATCCAGCAAACTAAAATACTGCTTCACTGGTCTGCACTTTATACATCAATGGGGCAGATATGGGAACAACATTGATCCTTAGACATTGTTTCTCAGTTTCCACTCTGGGAGAATTGAAAAAAGGGGGAACTGAAGTGACTTCTAACATGCAGGGGTGCAGTGCAATATAAGTTTCTAGTGGACAGTACTAAAATGACATACTTACTTATTTTTTGGTGTAATATGAAAGAAGTAGACCCCATCCTGCTTTTCTCACGAGCAGGAAAAGAAAGCAAAGACTTTGAAACGTCTCTTTTCTCCTTTTTCAATAGCTTCTTTTTTGCCATCTGTTGTTCTTGCCACTCTTTAGGAGACACACTCAACAAAAAAGCTTCGTAGGATAAATACAGTCTCAGATTATCTTCACTGTTTGCAATTTCACTGCAGACATTAAAGGATGATCGTTTATAAGCAAGCAGACAGTCATATTTTAGTGAAGTACAACAGCCAAATGTTATAAAGAAAATAAACTGACATTATTGTAATAAACAATGCAAAAGCAAATGAACAAGAGTTTTTATCAGAGTTATGGGAGTCACATTAAGGTTTGTTTCATCTTAATATTTTGAGCTAAAATGCTAACTCTAAGTAAGTCTGAATCTTAATACACACACACACACACAATTTATTTCTCTACCTGCTGTTTGTGTGCGGGGTGGCAGCAGCGTGCAACAATATTGTGTGTTAGTGTTTAAATTCTATTATTTTGAAAGTATTGAATCCATAGCTATCCTGCCTAGAAGAGGTATTTTCCATTCAGAGAAGGGCTTTGACATATTATGTGCAGGCCTTGAGCAATATAAAAAAGAACTAAATGCATAACTAGTATTCCACTTGTGCAAGCTGTAGTATGAAAACTGCTATAGAAGTTATCCCTTATCTGACTTCTTGTAGTTTGAAAACCAATTAGGAAATGCAATAAGAAGTGAATGACTTACACATAGATGTATAAACACCCTGCAAGCAAATCAGGATGAACACTCATTGCTGCATAACCACCTCCCAAAAAAACCTGGCAGCAGCCTAGGTTATGCTTTGCTAAATATGTGAAATAAAGAACTCACCTTTTAAGAGAGAACAGCTCATTCATTGCTGACCTCACTTCCGCTGTCACCTCCATTTTAGCTTTTGCTTCATGAGTTGCACTAAAAATAATATAGATGTTGTAATTCTGGGTGCATATAGACAGATTTTAAAATAGAAACACATTTTTCTGCCTGCACCCCCCAGAAAATAGGTGAACAGTCTGCTTTGCTTTTGTCCACAAGTAGCACAAATCTGCAATCACTCTGAAAACCAGTTTCAAACTGTTTCCTTAGTAATCAGTGCATTACAAAACCAATGAACATTTTCAGACTGACGAATTATTCCGCTAATGACAGTCACACCTTGCACAGCACATTTAAAAACCTCTCAATGTCGGTATGGAAACTTGCAGCCATAAGAATCAACCAGAAATTCCTCACCTCTTAAAAGTCAACAGACTAGAGGAAATAACATTAGAGAATGAAGCAAACGCCAACCCACCAACCCATCTCATCAAAGCCATTATGCCCAAGCTTGAGGTAGAGGCCTTGCTCTCTCCCACCAAAACCTATAACACCCTCCCTGCTGACACCCATTCATCTTGCCCTCTTCCTGCACACAGATGGCTACTGAAAACCAAACTATTCAAGTGAGCTGCTAACATTTTGATGAACTGCTGTTTCAAATATATATAATTCATCTGATGCCGTTGTCAGTTCCTTATTTGTAGGTACGGTATAATGACCCCCCCCCCATTCATTCTTCTTAGGTATATTAGCAAAAACTGGGGCAGAGACATCACATTTCGACAACTACATCAGCAAAAAGTAATCTCTGGTCAGACATGATGTTGGGATCTGATGGGGGCAATCTCCTAGTGGCAGGGTAGAATGATCTGGGGTGGTTGAAAGCTTGTTTTTGGATGTAAAGTCCCCAGGTGACTTGTGAGCGTACTAGCCAAGAAAAGAAAACACTGGCTGGGTCACATCATGCTTGAAGAATGTCTGCTACAGTGATACAGAGGACCCACATGGCCTTCCTGTTCTTTGCAATGGCTACTGGGGCAGCCTGTGTGAGCACATTTGCGTGGGAAGGTAGGAGGCCACAAACAGGACCACCAAGCCCTATGAGAATTCTCCGTGTGCAGGCCCCGCAGTCAAACCATCTAGCTTGTTATTAATAATAGAAATTGCAACAAAGTGTCTAACCTTTTAAGAGCATCAACAGAACGTCTGTCGTTTTCTTTGAGAAACTCATCAAATGCTATTGCATCTTCTTCTAATTTTGTTTCGGCGAGTTTGGCCCTCCTCTCTTCCTCCGATACTATTTCCTCCAGCTTGGCTATGGTGCGTTGTTTCGTTTTAACCGCATACTGGGAAGGGGAAACATTGCAAAAAGTTAAGCACAAAAGAATCTTTGTATTCAAGCGCCTTGCAAAGCTGAATGCCATTCCAATAGCAAAAAAAGGCTATGCAAGGCCTGGTTGCTACTCTTTCAGATTACTACCCTGAAGGCTTTTCGATCGAGCATTCTCATCCTAACAGCAATAAAGTTAATAGTCCTATCAGACAGCTAGTGCATACTACAGAGAAACCATATTCTCATTAACTTAACTTAAGGGTAAATTGGGGTTTATGGAATCTTTGGGTTTTTAGTCAGAAACTTTTTTCTGTCTTCCCTTGGGCAGGTTTATTATGCTGTTAATGGTACATGGGGTCAGAATGGAATACTCAGGCTTATTCACTAACCAATATAATTAGTCAGGACACTAAATAGTAAATAATGAATGTATAGTTGAGAATTAAGACAGTGAGTACATATTAAAGGATGATTTATTCCAAACAAAATCAGTGCCATACGGCCACCATGTTTAGTGCTCAATTGCTTTGATTTAGTGATCTGTTCTGAACTAAACAGAAATGTTCCAGTGTGTAGCTGAAGCTACTGTAACTAGAACTTTCCCATTTTTAAGTGCACCAACTACACGAAACAAAATGGTTACCTCCAGTAGAAACAACTCTTTCTGTTCATTGATGTATTCTGATATAGACTGCTTATCACTCTGAATACCTTTAAAACAGTTAGAATTGTTAGATTTCATCTTCAAACCTCTGCAATTTGTAGGTTTAAATAAACTTAATGTGTACTCAATTATAAACAATATTTGAAGAATAACCATCTTTCCAGACATTATGTGGATATCTTGGATTCACTAGTTTTGCATACTATCTCAGTGTGGACCCAATGCCAAACCATGGTTAATGAAGCTATGATTTGGTGTGATACCTGAATCAATGAACCATGGTTTGTGATGAGTCAGCAAACTAGAATCAGAAAGAGGTTTGCCATGATATTTGAATTGACAAACCATAGCTACAGCTGCTGCTCTGGCTCTAAGGTGCAGGAATCTAGAATTCTATATTATCACAAGTTGTGGACCTTCTTTTGAATTTAAATATATATCTTAAATTACGTATGACCTATACTACAGGTTCTATAGTATATAAATTAATCTATAAACCAGTTAATCACAAGATCCTGCATATGAATAGTTGAAAATTCTTGGTAAATACAAGATCTGGTAAACTCAGGTTTATATTTTTGTAACTCATTTCACTTACACTTTGCAAAAGCAAGAGTCCAGTCCAGAGCAGAAGTCTCTTTCTCTATTTCTTGTTTTGTTTCTCTTTCAATGGCTTCTTCCAGCTTTTTGAGAGCCTTTCGAGACCTAGCTCTTGATGAAAATGTGCTCTTTTCATGCACCTTCAGATTGTGTTGAACTGTTCTAACCTGAAATTGAAATCCAAGTTATCTAGCTTTTGAGAAAGGTAATCTCTTCTCTCACTTAAACTTCACACTTAACTGAACTAGATGAGACACCCATGACCCATGATTGGATCTACTGAGTGATGTATAAAAGCAGACATGGGGGAGGAAAAAATGGATCAAAGTCACTGTGCTGGGTGAGGGTGTGTGAACTTTTCTCCACACGTCATTTCACTGACTGAAAAGGCTCTAAGTTATGCAAGTCCAAACAAATGTGAACTTTGAATGATGCCAGAAGCTAAATGACAGCCAATACAACAGCCCAAAATTTGGTTTAATATGTTTTCTTCTTCCAAGCCCTCAAAGTTGCAGCTTCTGAACAATTTTTGAGGATGCTAAGGGGTGTGTGTGTGTTTGTGTGTGTGTGTGTGACTATGAGTGAATGCATGTACACATGAGTGTGGGCATTTCACCCAGAAGAGTGAGCCTCATGCCAAAAAATTAATAAAAATTAGCCACCCATACGCATCCAATTAACAGATTTACATGCTTAGAGGAGCTTGTCTCATAACATTGTTTTACAACTGTTGCCATTACAGTGGTACCTCAGGTTACAAACGCTTCAGGTTACAGACTCCACTAACCCAGAAATAGTGCTTCAGGTTAAGAACTTTGCTTCAGGATGGGAACAGAAATCGTGCTCTGGTGGCGCGGTGGCAGCAGGAGGCCCCATTAGCTAAAGTGGTGCTTCAGGTTAAGAACAGTTTCAGGTCAAGAATGGACCTCCGAAACGAATTAAGTACTTAACCTGAGGTACCATTGTATATGAATTACAGTGGTACCTTGGTTTACAAACTTAATCTGTTCCAGAAGTCCGTTCTTAAACCAAAGCGTTCTTAAACCAAGACGTGCTATCCCATAGCAGCGGGGGACTCAATTTACAATAGTAAATTGAGTAAATTTACAATTTACTCAATAGGAAGCGGAACATCTTCTGCTTCCAAGGCAAAGTTCACAAACCCAAACACCTACTTCCGGGTTTGCAGCATTTGCAGCATTCTTCATCCAAGTTGTTCATAAACTAAGCTGTTCTCAAACCAAGGTACCACTGTATTGGGAGAAGTATGTACTATCTCTACACAAAACTACCATTCTGCCCCACTTTTCCAACCTAATAGGGCAAACGTTTTAAATAATAAATACATGAAGGTATGGGAATTCTACTAGAAAAAATGACTTATAAACTAAGAGCCTCTAGAGGTAAAAAAAAAAAGTAAATTTCTGTTTGCTTGTGTTCTGTATTATCTACGAAAACAATAAAATCAAACTGCTCACCTGGCCTATAAATGGCTGTGGATGATAGAATAAAATAAGAATCTGTGGAGCTTCACAAACCCTTGGAAAATAAGGGATCTCCATGTTAATTGTGTTTTTAAAAATGTTTTAAACTTGTTATAATTTCTATTATACTAAAAGTCTGGAAGGTATTACTGATACCTCTGGCCTACTTTTGTGTCTCTGCTCTGATATTTCTGTTTCCTGTGATGTTTTCATTTATGCTTGATTTTTCATTTAATGAAAGTTTGAAAAATAAAAATAAACAACTAATGAAAACAATTACAATGGCAACTACAGTCAATTATATATTTGACAATTGGAAATACATACCTTTTCTTTTTCTGTGCACTCAATATCTCTATAAAGATATATTTCAGCATCCATGGCTTTGAAAGGGCTCTTTGGTTTGCCATCTTGCCACATAAAATATGAAAGAAAATACTATTTGCTTTCTAATACCATTTAGGAATATTAGCATTCAACTCCCAGCCCCCCACAATCCCAAACCATTAAAAATGGCAAATCTCAACTCAAGGCAAAACTAGCTAAAGAGTTATCCAGCAGGAATGAGAATGGCTTTTGATTTTCATTCATCAGCTCTGTGAGTTTCCCACATCCCTTTAAAAGAAGGAAAAAAAGCATAAAATGATATATATTATCTGTTCTGGGAGCACTTTGTGCTGAAGTTTATGGCTGCTTTATATTTAAGTACCAGACTAGCCGTCAAAGGCACCTAGGAATTCCATGCCAGTGAGTGCCTGGAATTCCAAGTAGTAAAGTCAATGAGCAGATGACTTTTCTCTTCTGCCAACCTGCTTGTTTTCCATGTTCCCGGCAGAGAAAGGAAAGTCTCTTCCTCCGCAACCAGCAAAGAAGTACATCAGGCTGGCAGAGAAGGAACAGACCACAGTCTTCCTCCTTGCCTTGGAAGAAGACAAATATTTTTCTTAGCCTGCCTTTCCATGCTTCCGCCACTGTGGCCAGCATTGAAGCTAGCACAGTGTACTAGGCTTTTGGCAGGTTAGTAAAAAAAAGTGTGTGGGGTAGTAACTTCTGTGAGCTTAATTCAAAATGAGTTATGGAGCAGAAATTTAGTAAGTGAACAATTTAAATACATGTGCCATGTGTAGAACGATGTGGAAGAAAACAAACACAAATCACTGCCCGTAGCAGCAGTGATGCATGTCAAGGGACAAAGTAGTAGTGGTGCTCTTCTAGTGATGGTGCTGCACTCGTTGCACCAGGGATAAATGATAAATAAATTCTTATTTATACCCCACCCTTCCCAGTTCAGAAAACCGGGCTCAGGGCAGCTAACAAAAAATTTAAAACACTTAATTTTAATATAACATAGAAGCAGCATAAAATACAGTATAAAAGCATGAATAACAATAAAATTCAAAGTTCAAAAATCAATTTGGGGGAAATCCATCCAATAAACTTTAGCTAGTCAGCAGGGCTAGCTGGCTGAATTAGTCCTACTTGGGCCAGCAAGGAGGCCAGGGGAGAATTAGCTGTGGGGTCTCAGAGTGGGTAATCTTCATAAAAGGGGAGGAGGAGGGAAGAGAAGGGAAATAAAAGATCAGGCTGAATTCAAATTAAAGGCCAGGCGGAATAGCTCTGTCCTACAGACCCGGCAGAAGCAGGTTAAATCCTGAAGGGCCCTAGTCTCATGGCACAGGGCATTCCACCAGGTTGGAGCCATCACTAAAAAGGCCCTGTCCCTGGTGGAGGATAGTCTTGACTTCCTTAGGGCCCGGGACCTCTAAACTATGGTTATTCATGGACCTTAAGGTCCTCTGTGGGGCATACCGGATAGGGATGTGGTGATAGTCAGATGGGAGGGGGGAGTTCTGGGTTGGAAGCATTACCCCTAGAAGGTGCATGTGCTCCTGTGGGGCTGTTGCTGCAAACCTGGAGGTTCCTGACATCACGATATTCTGTAAAGTGCAATCCTGCAGCCAGAAGGGTGCCACTTCACTCTTGCATAATGCAGAAGTATCCAAGGCCATCCTATTTATGGGAACTCCTAGATGCACCAAGCATGTGTAGGGCCATCCTGAACTTCTTGGTCTGCCATCGCTTGCATTATAAAGATCATCGCCTCCACATCCGAATACCTCATTAGAGTTGGGTCCAATGCATGCCCAGATACCACGCAGAGCCCATTACTGAATTTGCTGTTTTCCCCATGTTCCAGATGTTGACTTTCTAGAGCCCCTGACAGTTCAACCTACAGTTTGTAAAGCTATTTGATATTTTGAATTACCCATATCAACTTTTGATCCAAAACACTGTGTTGAAGCCATCTCCATACTTTAACACCCTCCCGAGATCTAGAAAGAAACACAATTGCAAGGAAGTTTAAAAACACATTTGCTTTTTAGCTGTTTGAAAATTCAATACAGGGATAAACAACAGCATGAACAAAGGCAAATGACTGTTTAATCTGACAAAATTCAGCAGTAGTTGAATGAAACAAAGAGACTTAGCATATAAATGTAGATATATTGCATGAATGTGAGGCTTGCTAGACAGATCAATAAAACATTTTTACATTTATCTCCCTGTGTATTATAATGAATATTTATTGCCTTCAAGGTAATGCTAAACTACCATGGGGGTGGGGGAGAAGGGATTACACGACAAATAAATGGGAAAGCTGGACAATGTCCCCCCCCCTTCCAATGTTACATTTACTTAGCTTTGTTTTAAATGAGGCGGGATGGGAAATGGCCTAGACACGCGCCTAGATGAAAATAGACTCATCAGGCGCAAGTATGAGACTCTGCTGATATAGCCTTTTTCTTCCTTTATGAGAGAAAATAAAAAAGCAAGCTTTGGGCTCACACATATGTCTTCTACTGTACAATGTTTTCCTTGGATGACATCCCATTTTAGTCAGAACAGACCCATTAAAATCAATGGCCTTAAGTCCACTTATTTCACTGGGGTCGCTCTGAGGAAATAATACACGTACCAGTACAACCCTTCATCTGTTCTCTGAAATCTCTCTCAACCTATTATTTATAGCCAGATCGAAAGGTTATGGACAGCAGGTTCAGAGAGTCATTATTTTATTTTGGGTACACTGAATAAAATTTCGCCCACGACTGTACGGGTGTGTGTAAATACATAAGCAATCAATCCGCGGAATGTAACACGTGTACTGTACAGGCGAAGCTGCTGGTTTCCACTTCTGAGATGAGGACTACAGGTTTCCGGAGGAGAAAGTGACTTCTTCCAGGTAAGCTGTTGTTTTTTATTATTATTTATGTGTGGGGTTTTTTTTTTTTGCAAAAACTGGGCGAAGGCAGGAACCAATGCACCGCACAGCGGCTGCACCCCAAACCTCCCCAAATGCAGCCCCTGCCCTTTCTTCGAGAAGTCGGACTTCCTCCTTACCGGAGAGCGCCCGGGCAGTCGGAGGAGGTAGCTAAAGACATGCGAGAGCCGCCACCGCAGCCACGGCGCCTCCCGGACTGTGAAGGCGGTTGGGAAGAAGAGGCCCCCGGCAGCGCGAGGCGGGAAGCAAACGCCGCTCGGCGCCGGCGCAGCTCCGCCCACCCCTGCGCGAGGCCGCGCGCGCCTTGGCGGCTTGCACGGAGCTTGCCGAGACTTTGCGTCGCGCCATGCCAAACACCGCTGGGATGGAAGCGGAGCTGGCCTCCTCCTCCAATGCACCGACCCTGTGCACATGTTTGAGTGAAGAGTTCCACATTTGCCTCCTTCCTTCCTTCCACCCGAACATGCATAGCATTGCCGTTTTGCTTAGGGTTGCCATATTTCCTGACGCCCTCAAAATGGTTGAGCTTTTTTTTTAAGGAAACCACCAAAATTGTTTATCTTATGAAGGCTTAACGGGAGCCAAAGCTCAGTCCCCAGGGTCTGCTTTAGATGCTACATCTAAAACAGGACATAATGAAAAGTGCCTCTGAGCATGTGCAGAATGTTATTGTACGGGAAAGTAATTGCCATCTACTCTCACACTGCCCAAAACCCCCCCAAAAACCTAGCCCAAAATTAGAGATTTTAAACTCTTCCCTGACGTAAGGCAAGCCTAGTTTTACTGCCCGATGCAAATTTATCTCAGGCTTTTCCGATTGCAGTCAATCGCGCTTCACAGCTTGACCCACCAGCTAAGCCTTATTGCTGATGCCCGGCCGCCACTGGGATGTTTTTTATATTTGCATCATCCTTTGTCATTTGCCATTCTGGCTGCAGTTGATGGGAGTCCAAAGCATCTATTGGGGAGCATTAAAAATGAGATTCCCCTACCTACAATTGAAATAGCTAGGGGTCCATTCTGTATAACCACCTCAGAACAGCACCACCTCATTTTGAATTCTGTACAGTCCAAGCCCAGCCCCACCCCCCATGTGTGTTTGCTTGTTTTGGGTGAAAACTGCCAACTAAGAGAAATGATGACGATTCCAGGAGGAAAGAGAAAGACCTTGCCCTGGGAAACTCGTGAGCGTTCTCCCTGCCCTGTTGACGCTGTCTGGGCCAGCCCCAGACTTCCCAAGCTCTTTTGTATCTGGCTGGAAAGAGCAACATGGCTGGGGAGTATAAGCTCCTGCTTGAAGGCGCCCAACAGCTGGTGCTTGTCTGCACCAAAGGTGAGAAATACCTCCTGGAAGCTGGCATGCAACATCTGGCCGTGCTGGAAAACGGCAGCGTGGTGATTGGCAAGTAAGTGAATCTCCCGGGAGGGGGGGTGTTGCTTGCTGGGGGCGGGGGGAGTCTCTCCAGCAGACTCTCTCTCCAATGGGAAGGTTTCTGTTAGTTTGTTTTTGTACTGACCTTCTCTAACGACAGGAAAATAAATGAAGTTTTTACAGAAAAAATAAAACAAAATTATTTTCTGTCTCTCTTCTGACAGCCACCAGCTGACCAAAACGTATACTCTTGAAATAAAAAAAAGATTAACTTTCTTATAGCCAATGAACTAAGTCAGGGGTAGGCAACCTAAGGCTTGGTGGCCCAATCACCTTCTCAATCTGGTCCACGGACAGTCCGGGAATCAGCATGTTTTTACATGAGTAGAATGTGTCCTTTTATTTTAAATGCATCACGGGGTTATTTATGGGGCATAGGAATTCGTTCATATTTTTTTTCAAAATATAGTCCGGCCCACCACATGGCTGAAAAAGGTTGCTGACCCCTGAACTAAGTTGTTAGTTACTTTGGACAAGTAACAATGTGACAGTTAATGCATTTTAATTTCCTGTCTACACTGAAGAATCCAACAATGATGCTAGCTAAATAACTTGCTAAAGAAGACATTGGTTTAAGTTTTAAGTACATTTGCTTCAGAAAAGAAGTTTTAGATCGGGGTATAAAAATTAATGGTAAGCGTTTTGGTCGGTTTATTTTCAGAGACGGTTGTATAAAGGCTGTGGGCGACTCAAGAGCCATTCACAAGCAATTTTCAGGAGCGTCTTTTGAAAAAGTCATTGATTGTTCAGGAAAATGCATCTTACCAGGTTGGTATCTAATATTTCAGAGTTCAACACACCAAGCAGAAAAATGCAATATTTATGGAGGCAGAGATGTTAGCTTTAGTTAGTCTAACATCCTCTGAATTATTTTCCTTTGGAATAAAATGTGATGGCTCCCCCACTGGGCTACCTTAGCACACAAGTGGGGACAAGGAGCTGGGGAGCTTCTGAAGAAAATAAGTATTGACTGTGTACTATAGCTCTGTGTGTGGTAAACTACACTTCCCATGATTCTTTGTGGGAGGGGTGTGCTTTAAACATATGGTGTGCACATAGCCATTAGCCTGGATTTTGAGAAACTTAAGTCTATGACCCTACTTCTTTCCAAAGTGCTGTTTGATCTAGCATGGACAATGGGACAGCCGCACATAATTGGCTAGTAATGGGTATGCTGAATCAGTACAACTAGCCACTGAAGTTTAAGCAAAGCTCAGTTTAGAAATAAGGTTGTCAGTCACCATATCTTATCAAAAAGTCCGTGCAAGTTAGTGCCTAACATAGGGTTGCCGTATTCCCCAAAGTGAAAAGTGAGCTGGGGGGGTCAAAGTTATTGAGATTTTTAGGGGAACATCTCCCTTCCCTTAAACAATTAAGTTTTGGGGCGCTTTTTGCAATTACAGCCACAAATCTTTCAGGATGACCTTCAGTTGCTGCCTCACAGTCTCTCCCAGCCTAACCTACCTCACAGGGTTGATGTGAAGATAAAGGGGAAGGGGCTTCGTATGCTTTGCTGAGTTCCTTGCAGGAAAGGTGCAGTTTAGCAGATCCTGATCCTGCTTTGGTGCATGTCAACAGCAGTACGGTATTCAGAAATTAAGCATCTGATTTTTTAAATATTTTTTGGGCCTGCTGGAAGTGAGAGGTGGAGAAAATGTCTGTTGCTCAATGTTTGTATTTCAGGCAGCTTTTGAAGGCACAGGGTCAATGACATAGAATAAAAGACCAAGCTCCCATCTGGAAGCATTCCAGTCAAAATCCCAGGAAATCCCAAGAGAAAGAGTACCGTATGTGAAGAGTCCTGCTGAATCTGATTTCAGGTTTCATCTTGTCTAGGTCTGGGTTTCTCTCGATAGCCAGCCCAAAGTCAGCAAAGCAGAAAGTGGCATACATGGTTCTCCCCTTCTTCTTCTTCTTTTCATCATCACAACACCCCTGTGATGTATGTTAGCCAGAGGGATGGTGAACGACCCAGTGAGCTTTATGTCTGACTGGGAATTTGAACCCTGGTCTCCCAGAACCTAGTCCAGTGCTCTAATCACTACACTACACTGGCTCATAATAGCATTTTATATACTGAAGGATCATGCTTTTTGATAATGTTCCTCCAAGGGCACATAAATAAAATTATTAACTGCTAATGTTTCCTGATTTTGTTTCCTAGTGGATATGTCTGAGATTGTGCAGTTTGCTGTGTTTGTTTTTGTTTTTGTTTTTTAAAAAAACAGGTCTGGTAGATGCACACACACATCCTGTATGGGCTGGTGACAGAGTCCATGAGTTTGCAATGAAGGTAAACTTACATACTGTAATTGCAAAGGATTTCTTTTACCTGAGTCTACCTTCCTTTACTCTAGATTAAAGTTTCCATAAGGTGTGGGCGCTGACGTTTAAAGACCTAAACGGCCTTGGTCCTGTATACCTGAAGGAGCGTCTCCACCCCCATTGTTCAGCCGGACACTGAGATCCAGCGCCGAGGGCCTTCTGGCGGTTCCCTCATTGCGAGAAGTGAGGTTACAGGGAACCAGACAGAGGGCCTTCTCGGTAGTGGCACCCACCCTGTTGAACGTCCTCCCATCAGATGCCATGGAAATAAGCTATCCTATTTTTAAAAGACATCTGAAGACAGCCCTGTTTAGGGAAGTTTTTAATATTTAATGCTGTATTGTTTTTAACACTCAACTGGGAGCCGCCCAGAGTGGCTGGGGATTCTCAGCTAGATGGGCCGGATATAAATATATTATTATTATTATTAAAGTCTCTTCATCTGTAAAAGGCACAAATATCTTCATTCCAGCCCCTTCTTGGATGCAAATCGATCTCTAATAAGAACATGGGAAGGAATCTGCCTTACGCAGAACCAGACCATTGGCTCATTTAGCTCAGTAGTGTCTAATGTGACCCTCATTGTTTCTCCATGGTTTCAGAAAGGGCTGTCTACCGGGAGATGCTAGGGATGCAACCTGGAAACTTCTGCATTCAAAGCAACTGTTCTGCCACTGAGCTGTGATCCTTCCCCTACCAGGACACTTTTGGAGAGCCATTGCACTTCTGGGATTTCATTGCATGAGGGGTATAGTTTGCCCATTATCACATGTTTAACAGATAACTTTGTTTTAAAGTTGGCAGGAGCTTCCTATATGGATATTCATCAAGCAGGAGGAGGGATACATTTCACCGTGGAGCACACTCGGAGTGCCTTAGAAGATGAGCTCTTCAGCAGCTTCAGGCACCGGCTGCTACGCATGCTCAGAGCAGGCTCCACTTTGGTTGAATGCAAAAGTGGATATGGGTTAAACCTGGAAACGGAAGTTAAGATGCTGAGAGTGATTGAAAGGGCTCGGCGGGAGTTGGACATAGGCATTTCCTCTACTTACTGCGGAGCTCATTCTGTTCCTAAGTAATGTACCTATTCTCTCTTGTCATTTTAAGCGCTGTGCTAGAACACAATTGAAGATTAATTGGGTCACTCGTTGAACAGTTCTTCTGCAAAACAGAACATACCTAATTCTTGCAGTGCTTCTGTTTGCCATCTACTATTAGAGTGATGTGTGGAAGTGCCCCAAGAGAATATTCAAGCATAATGAAGACTGAGGGAAAGTGCAAAGCCTGAGATGTGCCTGACATTTCCTGTAAAGCATCTGAGGGAGAAGAATTATTATTATTTAATTCAGATGTGACGGAGGAGAACACAGCGAGAAGAAGTTTAAGGCACCACTTGCATTTGCAATGTTACCCTAACCTCTTTCAAAATCAGCTGGAACATAGAAAGGGAATCTTGAACTTAAAAGAGAAAGATATTGTTTAAGGGGGGAATAAATCTCTGATATAGAATCTGGCAGGCAGGAACCTGTGGAACAACCTTCCATAGCATCAGGGCCTGTGGAGTCAAAGCCTGGACCCTCAGGGGCAGCTTCTGCTGCATGTGAGGAACCAAATGCCTCCCAAGGTAGCTCACAAGCCTAGCCATGTAGGGAGCCCACCAGAAAGTAGCCCTGGATTTCAGGCCAGAGGGATGGCCCTTTAAACAACTAAGTTATCCACAAAGGGCCAGAGTCTGCTCCCCCTCCAGACTGGTGTTTTATGTGGGTGTATCCTGCATCATGGGACGCGGGTGGCGCTGTGGGTAAAACCTCAGTGCCTAGGACTTGCCGATCGTATGGTCAGCGGTTCGAATCCCCGCGGCGGGGTGAGCTCCCGTCTTTCGGTCCCAGCGCCTGCCCACCTAGCAGTTCGAAAGCACCCCTAAGTGCAAGTAGATAAATAGGTACCGCTTTATATAGCGGGAAGGTAAATGGCGTTTCCGTGTGCTGCGCTGGTGCTGGCTCGCCAGAGCAGCTTCGTCACGCTAGCCATGTGACCTGGAAGTGTCTCTGGACAGTGCTGGCTCCCGGCCTCTTAAGTGAGATGAGCGCACAACCCTAGAGTCGGACACGACTGGCCCGCACGGGCAGGGGTACCTTTACCTTTACCTATCCTGCATCATATTCTTAGCATAATAATAGTGCATTAGTCGTGGGTTTATTCTGCTTTAGTTTGTGCTTCAGTGGTTTCCCACGTTATTGCTATCCAGAGGGGCTACAGCGCAACAAAAGCAGGACAAAAATAAATGAGAACATTTGCGATATAAAAATTTAAAGGATTTTTATACGGGATATGCACTGGTTGTAAAACAGTGAGACCACCCTAAAACTTTTGCAGGCCACATGAAAACTTAATCTTTTGGTTTTTGTTGCATTGTCTGTTGAATAGGGGGAAAAGTGCCATTGAAGCCACAGATGATATTGTTAGCATCCACCTTCCTAAACTGAAGCAACTGGAGCTTAATGGTGAAATTCATATTGATAATATAGATGTTTTCTGTGAGAAGGGAGTCTTTGATCTGCCTTCGACCCGAAGAATTCTTCAGGCTGGGAAAGATTTAGGGTTACAGATCAACTTCCATGGGGATGAACTGCATCCAATGAAAAGCGCTGAGGTACTTATATTGATATATTACATAATTTTATTTGTATGTCACCTTTCCACAGCTCAAACTATGCCCTAGGCAGCTTACAACATGAAAAATACATACCACAACATAACCAAAATAGTAATAAACAATAAAGAAAAATTTAAAAACACACACAACCAAACTGAATGATTACCACACAAATCACACCAAAATTTAAAATAAAGATACAAAAAACCCTCACCCAACAGCAACAACCCCCCAAAACCAACAACACCCCACCCCAAGAATCTGTTCGGCAGCCTCAGCTTTTGTAGCTGGAGTCAGTCAGGGCCCTGCCCAGGCGGAAAAAGACCTGCAAGGCAGGGAACAGGTCTTCCAGCACTCACAGCCAAGGTGGTTGTCTTCACTGAAGGAAAAATCTTACACGAATTCTGATTTGGCGTTAGCGTATTGGAAGCACCACGGCACAGTTCTTTATTTCTGCAGTACCTAAGTTAAAAGAAAATGTGAGGTTGATGGAGTTAGCGAGATGGACTTTCTGACCTTTGCTTTTTACATCCATTCAAACATTGACTTTGCTTATCTTTTCCTTGTGATGTAAAATAAAAAGAGGAGCATCTGACGAACTCTTTCATTAGCGATAACATTGCTAGATACACATACACATTTTAATAGTTAATGTTTGTGTCTTTAATATCTTTCATAGGGTACTTTTGTTTCACCAGTGGTGATTACAATGTAGTTATAACTGCTAGTTCTATAGTATTTTTCATTATTATTATTATTTTATTTTACTATTCGTACGTGCAGAGGTGGAGCAAGGTGGGTATGGCCCACCCCAGGTGTCACCCCTGAGGGGGGGTGACATCGCCGCGCCACCCCCCCAGGACACTTGGTGCGAGCGGCACACCCCCTGGGACACTTACACCGCCCACAGGTGCACGCCGCTCCGGGTACTGGAGCAGCTAGCTTCACCACTGCATACCTGGCCCACCTTACCGGGTCGCCCTAGCCACTCTGCCAAGACAGGATGAACAAACCCGATGCCTGGCCTGCCATGCTGGAGGGGATTTGGAAGTGTCATAGTTGTCCCTCTTCCCAGTCCTGCCTGCTCCCACTGGGAGGGGAGCTGTAGCATTTATAAATGCCTCAATTCTCCTGCCCAGGCAGGTGGAAGCTGCTACTGGCGGTAACCAGTGGTAACCCCCGAAATGGGGTGTTTCAGGGCAGTGAAGGGTCTGTGCTGAGCCAGCACAGGATCTGCTGGATCCTGAGCCAGGCCTGCTGCTGTCACATGATGGTACAGGGCATGATCCAAGCTTCTTTGCTGCCCGGGCTGGTGCAGCAAATAGATTTCCCCCCAACCCTCCTTTCCATTCCGACTGGTGTGAGTAGCAGGGCTCTGGTTACACTGCTGCATTAAGCCCCACTTCAATCTAGATTGAAAGCAGCAAGTTGAAGCTGAGCATAAATGATTCTGGGCTGAGGAGAACTGCATTTTTGTGCTCTATAAACAGGTTATTGTGTGTGCAGCCTTACGGATAAGGGAGGTTCTTATGCGACTGACTTTTAATTCAAACCTTGCCTTGGCATCTGTTTAGCTTGGAGCTGAGCTAGGAGCTCAGGCTGTCAGTCATCTAGAAGAAATCAGTGATGAAGGTATTGCTGCAATGGCCCAGGCGAAGTGTGCAGCTGTCCTCTTACCAACCACTGCTTATATACTGAGGTAATCATAATTCTAATATGTATTGCTAGGCTGTATTTTACTGTTATTTGCTATTCCTTTGGGAAAATACGTATTATCTTTTGAAAGAATGCATCCACTGAACAACTGCTGCTAAGAGTGATCCTCCAAGCCTGCAAAAAGTTGCCGGTCTTTTATTAGAGCCGATGGAGATGCTTTGTAGTTCAATCTCTCTCCCTCCTCATGGAATTGTTGTTGTTGTTGTTTAGTCGTTTAGTCGTGTCTGACTCTTCGTGACCCCATAGACCAGAGCACGCCAGGCACTCCTATCTTCCACTGCCTCCCGCAGTTTGGTCAGACTCATGTTTGTGGCTTCGAGAACACTGTCCAACCATCTCGTCCTCTGTCGTCCCCTTCTCCATGTGCCCTCCATCTTTCCCAACATCAGGGTCTTTTCCAGGGAGTCTTCTCTTCTCATGAGGTGGCCAAAGTATTGGAGCCTCAGCTTCATGATCTGTCCTTCCAGTGAGCACTCAGGGCTGATTTCCTTAAGAATGGAGAGGTTTGATCTTCTTGCAGTCCATGGGACTCTCAAGAGTCTCCTCCAACACCATAATTTGTAAGCATCAATTCTTCGGCGATCAGCCTTCCTTATGGTCCAGCTCTCACTTCCATACATCACTACTGGGAAAACCATAGCTTTAACTATATGGACCTTTGTTGGCAAGGTGATGCCTCTGCTTTTTAAGATGCTGTCTAGGTTTGTCATTGTTTTTCTCCCAAGAAGCAGGCGTCTTTTAATTTCGTGGCTGCTGTCACCATCTGCAGTGATCATGGAGCCCAAGAAAGTAAAATCTCTCACTTCCTCCATTTCTCCCCCTTCTGTTTGCCAGGAGGTTATGGGCCCAGTGGACATGATCTTAGTTTTTTTGATATTGAGCTTCAGACCATATTTTGCGCTCTCCTCTTTCACCCTCATTAAAAGGTTCTTTAATTCCTCCTCACTTTCTGCCATCAAGGTTGTGTCATCTGCATATCTGAGGTTGTTGATATTTCTTCTGGCAATCTTAATTCTGGCTTGGGATTCATCCAGCCCAGCCTTTTGCATGATGAATTCTGCATATAAGTTAAATAAGCAGGCAGACAATATACAGCCTTGTCGTACTCCTTTCCCAATTTTGAACCAGTCAGTTGTTCCATATCCAGTTCTAACTGTAGCTTCTTGTCCCACATAGAGATTTCTCAGGAGACAGATGAGGTGATCAGGCACTCCCATTTCTTTAAGAACTTGCCATAGTTTGCTGTGGTTGACACAGTCAAAGGCTTTTGCATAGTCAATGAAGCAGAAGTAGATGTCTTTCTGGAACTCTCTAGCTTTCTCCATAATCCAGCGCATGTTTGCAATTTGGTCTCTGGTTCCTCTGCCCCTTCAAAATCCAGCTTGCACTTCTGGGAGTTCTCGGTCCACATACTGCTTAAGCCTGCCTTGTAGAATTTTAAGCATAACCTCATGGAATAGCTGCTTATAAGTGACAATTTAGGGACCTACAGTCTCATCTCTCTCTTTTCATATCTCCCTCTCCTGGATTCTGATAGAATCATATAATATTGCTGAAGTGGTTTGCTGCATTTTACATTGCAATTCAAATGGTAGTAACCATTGTTTTCTTTTACTTTGCAGATTAAAGCAGCCTCAAGCTAGAAAAATGTTAAAAGAAGGAGTGATTGTTGCTCTTGGCAGTGATTTTAACCCAAATGCTTATTGCTGTTCTATGGTAAGATGTTTCTTTAGAGCAGATGCAAAATTAATGTTAATTTTCTTCTGTCAGTTTGAGTGTCAGGCTTGGAGTATTGATTATTGCCTTGATTCCTTGGGAATCCTATTTAATTTTCTGTACTAGCAGGACAGTTGAGTAGATCACATGAATTTAAATACACACACTATTGAATTCACACATGAACTCTGGCCATTGAAAAGCAGCTTCTGCTTGGAGCTGATGGTTATCAAGCAGGATATTGGCTTTCAGCACAGATAAGCCCTGTCTTTCTTGCAGACATGAGCCCTATTCAGGCATGAGATACGGACAGCAGAAACAAGCATACTCATTCCACATAAACATACGCATCACCTTTCCATTCATTTGTCAACTTGTAGAGGGCAACTGTCTGCAACAGAGGCCTTCTGTGCTTGTGAAGTCCCCCCACTCATTTTTAAAACCTTGGGGAATCAGGATTCTCAAAAGTCCATGGAGTTTGATCTCCAGGTCACACAAGGCAACAGGGAGCTAGTGAGTTTGTCTCCACAGCCCCACCTGCAGTTAGAACAGCTGAAGACCGTTACAGTTAAATTAATTTTACCTGTCACAGTGAACTCAGGCTTTCAGATGGCAATTCCAATGGCTGACAGACTGTTGGTTTCTGTGCACCTATGTGTAACTTCAGGCTTAACTACCTCTCTCTTACTAGCTCATGGTTATGCACCTGGCCTGCGTAAACATGAAGATGTCCATGAAAGAGGCTTTAGCTGCTGCCACCATCAATGCAGCTTATGCTCTAGGGAAATCGCACATGCATGGCTCCATAGAAACTGGCAAGCAAGGAGACCTCATTATCATCAACTCACCAAGGTGAGGATGCAAATAAATTTCAAAGGCCTAATTAATGCTCTGCATAAGTTGGAATGAAAATCTAACATTCGGAATACAGTGGTACCTCGGGTTACATACACTTCAGGTTACAGACTCTGCTAACCCAGATTAGCACCTCGGGTTAAGAACTTTGCTTCAGGATGAGAACAGAAATCGCGCGGTGGCAGCAGGAGGCCCCATTAGCTAAAGTAGTGCTTCAGGTTAAGAACAGTTTCAGGTGAAGAACAGACCTCCGGAATGAATTAAGTATGTAACCAGAGGTACCACCGTAAATTAAATGCATCATGCAGTTTGGACTGCAATGTTTGGGACATTATGATGAGCAATAATTACTCAATCCAAGTGCAGTATTTGAGTCTTCTCCCAATACAGAACATATTGACCAGACATAAAGGGAAACCTCAATCCTTTTAAAAAAAGTCATACTTTTATATGCTATTAACCCCCCACTTAAGACTTCTTTCAGTCTTTCTTACAGCCATGTCTGTTGAAAGTTGTTCTTTAAAAATAAACATTGAATTGTTCAGGAAACAATTTTCTGGCACCATGCCAGAGCCCAAATTTCATATCATATATTGTTGTGAACTAAACATACCATCAGTTTTTGTTATTTATTTAAACTGATCGATATTTTCAAGTATATTTTAATGTTGATGTGCTTGTCAATTTTAGATTTATTTGTGTTTATTGTGCTTTTTTATATACCTATACCATGAGCCACCTTGAGTAGGCTGTGCCCCCAAAAGGCAGCATATAAATAAATGACTACAAACATTCACAATGTCTTTTCAAAACAGGCATATGAATTGATAGCAATTGGCTCCTGCTTTCTATTTATCAGTCAACATGTTATGTTAAAACTATATGCTTTAAAACAGTCCTCTTGCCACATTCCTGATGTCGAAGGTGATGTTAGGTATGGGGCAGTTACAAAAGAACCACCAGGAGCTTAATATGAGCTCCCAGTTATTCTTTCTGCAAGCTTGGCTCCCTGTTAGTGCTGATGATCACTGCCATGTAACCCTAGTGGAGAGCTCTGTAGTCCAGCTGAGGGACTTACTATCTCAATTTAGAAGAAACTGTTTCCATTCAAACTGCTTCCTCCAAATGGAGCATTTCTTCCACTGCGGAGGTAAAATTGCTTTGTTTGGAGGAAGTAGTTTGAACCCAAACTGACTTCAAAGGGGCTCCCTGTAACTGCCAATCAACAGTTACAGTGATTGAGCTCCTTTGAACTTCTGCATGTGTCAATCACCTGGTGTCATTATGCTGCCTGGTGATTGTCTAGTGAGCAGTCCCACCCACCTGTCAAAGTTTGCCTATGGGGAGTGAGGAATTAGGGATCCATCCCACTAACCAGATCCAGTTCCCTACCCCTGCTATAAAAGATACTACTGCGTGTCAGTTTTAAGTTATCAAGTTTAATTAATAGCATATAGCTCTGCTATATGAAACAACAAAAATCCCTATTGTGCACCTAGGGACAAATGGGCAAGGAGGCTTGTTTGACACTATTCTGCCTGCATTGTTTATTTACTTTGAACATGCAGCTTATCTATCATGCTTTCTATTTTAGTCCTATGCACATGAGAGATTGCTGTTGTTTTTCTAAATTATGATTGTAACCTTTTAAAAATCTTTAGATGGGAACACCTGATTTACCAGTTTGGTGGCCACCAAGAACTGATTGACTACGTAATTGTTAAAGGAAAAGTTGTTTATAAAAACGACAGTGTTCTGGGCTACTGAGGAATTCCAGAAGGAAGAAATACAGCAGTTGCCAGACTCTCTGAGGCAAACACAGGATGATAATCAGCAGGGTCTCACATCTATAAGATCATACTTCCTTACCGGTCAAAGCTCAATAATTTCACTGGTTTTTATTTTAGTCCTCCCTTTGTATTCGCATGAGGAACACTAGGCCATGTTCATCTGCTTGGTAGTTTCATGGTCCGCTAGAAAATAAAACTACATGTATGCAAACAGTTAACTCTGATTTTTTTTCCATAAATGAAGGTCCTCTTGTATAAAGAAATCAAAGCTCTGCATTGCAGTGTGCCTACATACACCTCATAATTTTTCACAGAGTTAAGAACATGAGAAGAGTTTGCTACATCTAGTCCAGCGTCCTGCTCACAGTGGTCAGGTGGGTGCCTTTGGGAAGCCCACAAACAGGCCCCGATGACTGCAGGGAGTTCACAGATAACATTTATGCAGTTGGTTGGACTTGAATAACTACTTCCATCTACCTAAGGTGGTTTATGAACGTATGTTTCCTTTGAGTAACAACCTCCTCTCCACAACATGATATGTCGTTTATAGAGATGACTTCACAAAGCAAGATTTATATGGCCCAGGAATCAGCACATTGGCTTTTTAAATTTTTTTTGTAAGAGACCAAAGCTGGTATGGTATAGTCATCAGTCTCTGACTAGGATCTGGAAGGCCAGGGTTTAAATCCTTACTTGGCCATGAAGTTCACTGGGTGACCTTGGGCCAGTCACTGACTCCCAGCCTAACTTACCTCACAAAGTTGTTATGGGGATTAAATGTGGGGAGAAACTATGTATCCCACCTTGTGCCCCTTGGAGAAAAGGGTGAGATATAAATGCAATAAGGAGGAGGAGGAGTCTCTGTAATGATTGCAACATTAGATTTATTGTTTTTATAAATTAAAAAAAAGCTAGCTAATTTTAATTGGCTAAATTATAGTTTGATGTTAGTGTGGTTAACTTAACTCACAAAATGAGCCACATCTCCACAGGTTTTGTCGCACCCACCCATTTGCTACAGATAAATTTAACATTCACCTTGTTTTTGTACAAAGTTCAGCCATTGTGAAATCATTCAAACTGATACGGCACTTTCTCTATGCCCATGAATATTTTCGGCTTTGGAATCTTTTTATTTTTTGGCCTTTGGCATAAAGTACAGAATACGGGAGTTATTAAAAACACACAGATTTTGCTATCGACTGAAGTACTGGGGTTCATTTCTGATAGCATTTACTCTTAATCAAATTCTTCTGAGTCGCTATGATGATGTTGGTGGCGACAGCGTGAGGCGTTTTCACTTGCTGCTAATGAAAAGGCAGTAGGGGAGATTGGCCTGGACTCAGGAAGGTGCTCCCTTCTGTATTTTTCAATGTATGGTTCAGCTACTTCCCAAACCTACAGGTAGGAAGAGAGAGAGAAAGTAGTGTCAGAAGCAAAAGGCAAAGATTTAGATTTTGGACCAAAATATTGGCAGACAACATTTCTTATACATGATCCTAATCATATATTTAAAAACCATTGGTGCAAGTTAGCAAAAAAAAACTACTTTCAGTGGAAATGTACAGTGCAAACATCTGGACAAAGTAGCCCTGGTGGGTATGCCCAGATGGTGGTTTCTGAAGAGGACTGATGTGTGTCCAATGTACATTGCCTCCATACTCCATTCCATCACTCTCTACAAGGACACACAAGACCGGCTCTATAAGGGAGGGAGGGGATGAGGGAGCTGCATTTTATGGTGGGCCCACTCTTTAGCAAACAAATGCCAAACACAGCACAGGAGGCTGCTATCATTTCCACCCACCCCCTTCTCACATGCTGGAACTAATACTTGAGAAAAATATATCCAGAGGCTGTGCCTGGCTTTAGAAGACTGTCAGGGACTCAGATATGCTGAGGGATGGCTTTGTAATATGTATACTAGCCAGATGGAGCACGTGCAACATGTTCTTTTTGAACAATAAAACACACTCAACACAGAATGATCAAAAACAAGATTCTCATTTCTTTATTATGAACTTCCTGTCAGAAGCTCAAGCTTCCTGCAGACATGCATGTTAATTCAGCTGTGGATTCCATGTGGTCTATGGCCAGACATACAGAATATGACTTGCCATTTGTAACACAACTGCGCAGGCTTCTAGTCCACTAAGAAGCACAATTTGAAGTGTTGGCTTTGACCTGTAAAGCCCTTTGTGTCTTAGGGCTCTTTGCTCCCACATGAACCTGCCCTTAAACTTCCTAAGAGGTCCTTCTTTCAGTCCCTTTGCCATCATCAGTGAGATTGGTGGTGACCTTTGATTGGTCCTTTTTAATCACCTCTGCCCTGTCTTTGGAAGATTCTCCCCAGTCACCTTAATCCATGTTTTGCTATTTTTGTTGCCAGGTGAAGACCTTTCATTCTTCCAGGCTTTTTAGATGCTGTCTTAATCTGAACTGGCTCTGGTATTAATATTTGGCTTTATTGTTCTGCTAATTATTTATTGTCTTGTGTATTTATTGCATGCTTTCAATTTCTTTGATTGTGAGCTGCTTTGAATAGTGGGAAAGAAATATTTGGAATAAATAAACATGGTTTGCTTGCCTAGCTACAATCTGTCTTTCACTTTATGATAAGCATGATTTACTTCTCTAACCCCAATCACTCAAATGTTTGGTGGTAGACTTGTGGTGCTGAACAAGTGTCAAAGATATGGTTTCCTCCAACCTGTTTTCCTAGATAGCAAATTAAATCTGCTTGGTACAAGATTGTTTTCCTTCCTCATAGAATGTTGGAATAAATCATAAGCATGAGGGCACATATTATGCAGCTAGTAGCTAAACACACAGAGGAACTTTTAAAAATCATGGAGTCTCCTCATCAGACTCCATTAGCTGCTAATATCAACACTTACCTTCTGATCCACAAGCAGTCTGTGAGCTGCCTCAATGTCTGGGGCCATGAAGCGATCTTTCATCCAAGGCCTGAAAGGAGACAAATTGAACAACAAATTGAACTTCTAAATCTGCTAGTAGTGGTGGTAAGTGGTTAATGTTTGGCCAATGTTCTCAGAAGTTACCGTCTCTGGGCAAGTGTTTGTTTGACATACCTGACAACAGAGCGCACAAGGTCATAGACTTTTTCCAATGGGGTTGTAGTTCTCAGGGGGCGTAGAAACTCAATGCCCTGGCATGCTGCAAGGAGTTCTACAGCCAATACTAGTAAACAAAAACAACATAAAAACCATGGCAAATTCTGGTCATTTTTAAAACATTTGATGTAAACAGATGAGGATGAGCTCTTAGGACTAGTGCTCACCATTAAATGGGCACATTGTTAATATGGGTTAACTGGATGTATGAAATGCAGAATCTTATATTTGAAATTCTATGAATTTAGATGCAAGTAAAAGACTAAAGAAACTTAAATCTACTTTCCTATGGAGTGTGTTAATATTGTGGCACTCTGTGAAGATATACATGCACATGTGAATGATCACATACAACCCAAAAGCATGATATGAAAAGCATGCAAAGATTCTAGAACAGTTTTACTGAGTCAGGACTCAGAGCCTTGGAAAGAGGAATTGTGATGCCAAGGTGGAGGTGAGGTTCTGCATCAAAGGCAGAAGAATTAACTTCTCCCCTGTGGCTTGGATTTCCTAAGTTCAGAAGTCAGATTAGTTTGCCTTACTGCCACAGGGGCCTAGGACTCGTCTGTCCATTCGCAACAGCAAGGGCTGGTGGAATGGCTGGCTGGGCTCCCTTGCCTGCCTGCCTGCCTGCCTGCCTGCCTGCTTGCTTCGAGGCCGCCTCAGCTCCTGGCAACCTGGCCAACCCCAGAGGCACCATTCACCTGCAGAGCTTGTAGCTAGGGCTGCTGCAACAAACAGCTGTGCAAGCCTTTGGGAGGCAGAGATGCAAGAGAGCATCAAAGGAGGGAGGGAAGGAAAGAGGGACAGAGGCCCGTGTTGCCCACGGCACCCTAGGGTGCCACAACACACTGGTTGAAAACCACTGATCTATGCAATGAAGCACAGTGAACCAGGATCTCTTCTTGCACTGTCAGTCTAAGAAATTTTGTTGTCTGACTTGAAGCCCAAATCCGCTAGAGCCCCACACTTAGTTTAAAGATACATGTAGCAGCACTGACACCAATTTCTGCGTTCATCTATCTTCCCCTCAAGAAGCCAACTGAGAAAGGCTGCTCCACTCTCTTGTACTGCAGGGCCTTTCCTGATCTCTTAAATAGTTTTCAGGTCTGCATTAAGTCTCTTGCCATTCTGACCCTAAACACTTTGGCATGAAATAATGCAGGTAATTCTTAGTATTATGTCTTGTTATTGACAATCCACAGCAGTTCCTCTAACATTTTCTGAAATTATTTGTTCTTTATAATTTATATTTGTTCCTACTTATTATCATCTTCATCTTATTTTGACAGTGTTTTTTATTATAAATTGCAATATATATATTTATGTATAAGTGTAAAATCCAGTCAAATGTGTTTTTAAAATGCAAGCAATTCCCATCGATTTCCATGAAGCTTACATCCAAGTCAGTGTGCTTAAGATGGTATGAAACACTGGTCACACCCACACTATACATTTAAAACATATTTAAAGCACATGGCTTCTCCCAAACAATCCTGGGAACTGTAGTTTATCTGCCACAGAGCTACAATTCCCAGCACCCTTAACAAACCACAGTTGCCAGGATTCTTTGAGGGAAGCTCTATGCTTTCTGTGTGTGGCGTAGATGTGACCACAGTTAATATCCAGTTGTGCCTATGACTTTACCTTGTTCAACGTGCTCAATGACTTTGAGTGCTTTTCTCGCAGCCCATCCTCCCATGGATACGTGGTCCTCTGTAGCGGCACTGGTCGAAAGAGTATCCACAGAAGACGGATGGCACAAGGCTTTGTTCTCGGAAACTGCAAAAGTCCAGTTTGAATAAATGGTAGCCTCTGAGGCAAACCACCATGTAAAAACCAGGGGTTGTCAACCTGGTCCCTACCACCCACTAGTGGGCGTTTCAAGATTCTAGGTGGGCGGTAGGGGGTTCTATGGCACAAGCTGAATCCTCCTTCCATCGAACACTGGTGGGCAGTAAGGAAATTTTACCATCAAGGAAGATGCATTAGTGGGTGGTACGTATAAAAGGGTTGACTACCCCTGATGTAAACAATGCCCCACTTTGAGTAGCCGTCAGCGAGGGAAATGAGGAACCTGGAAACGCTTTTGTAACAGTATTCTGTGCAGATCAGCAGCGTAATATCAATATATAGCATCCATAAACCTTCTTTCCCCCCAATGTAGAGGACACTCCAAAAAGTGCTCACACTGCCAAGGAGAAAGACAACAGGGGAAGAACACAAACACAAGCCCTGTATTTGTGCTTCCTATAAGCATCTGCCTGGATCAGATGAGCTTCTGGGTCTGACCTAACAGGGTTCTTTTTACCTGTTCAAAGCTTCCTATACATTATCTCAGCAATGTTTATCACAGTAATGCTTACAGGAGCCCTGCAAGGTATCCTTGTGCTGCCAATGGGAGAAAGGCCAAGACTGTGAATTAAGAGAATAAATGGGCAGAGAAGCGATTTAAACCAGAGATGGGCCATGTACACATTACTGTTAACTCTGGCTCCAGTGTGCTCCCTCCATTAAATTTTGAATCTGCGTACTCAGGACATTAGGGAATATCTAGAGCTATCCTGTAGTTTCTTGTAACGTACTGGTTGCATGTGATTTATTTAAATGCCTTGACATTCTAGAAATGACTGGGCTATTCCAGCAATTGAATTCGTGCTGGATCTAGGAATTAGGAGACACACCCCAAGTGTAATGGTCATGTGTGCATAGCCCAAGACTCAAATACCTGAGAGGGAAATGCAAGAAGACTGGTCAGAGCAGCAGATTAACTCTGGGATATTGAGATGTCTGTGTATTCAATCCCTCTGGCAGCCCCGTCAGCCATTTTGTACTCACCCAAGGATGCTGCTGTGCAGTGTGCAATCATGAATCCAGAGTTCAGACCTCCTTCTGTGACTAAAAATGGCGGCAACTCACTGAGGGATGGGTTGCAGAGCCGTTCGATCCTCCTTTCGCTAATCGCAGCAAGTTCATGGACCCCAATTGCAAGATAGTCCAGAGCCTGAAAGATATATATTGGTTTTTAGTGATAGTTTTTAAAGCCCTAAATTGTAAATACTAAAAAAAAAGGGGGGGGAGAATGTTGTTAACTACCTTGGCAGGGTATTCACCATGGAAATTTCCTCCAGAAATTGTCTCCTTCCTTTCAGCAAAAACCATCTTAAGGAACACATTAAGGCTTCAACAATAGTGAGGTTGGCCATAGCAAAGCCCAAGTTATTCATTTATTATTGAATTTGTTAGAACTATTTCTATTCTACTTTTCCATTACAAAAAAGGCACATGTTTAAACATGTTTTTAAACCAAGAATATATGTTAAAGAATATATATATTTCCAGAGGATCAACAAAATACTTTATTTTTCATCTGGACCACCAAACTACAAGGAGTTCATACAGGACAGTGGAAGACCAGAGAGGGAGTTGATATAAGCCTCTTGAGGCAGGGAGTTCCAAAGGCTAGGTGTGGCCGCACACTCTCCTACATTCCTGCCAAGCGCACTCCAATACTTATAGGTTATAGAGAAGATCTCTCAGTAGATCATAATGAGCAAATAGGCTCATATGGGAAGAGATGGTCCTTAAGGTATCCTTGTCCTAAGCTACAGGTAGGTAGCCCATGTATCTGAAGAAGTGTGCATGCACACAAAAGCTCATACCAATAACAAACTTAGTTGGTCTCTAAGGTGCTAGTGGAAGGAATTTTTTTATTTTGTTTGTCCTAAGCTGTTTAGGTTAGGGCTTTAAAGATGATAGGCTTCAGGTAAGTTAAGAACGATACGCTTTAAAACTTACAACCTAAATGCACAAGTATGCAGGATCACTTTTGTTTGACAGCTCCTACAGAAACAATGAAAGCCACAGGCCCAAGTGTGAAACATACACTTGACTCAGGCAGCAGAATTATGCAAAAAAGATACAGGATTGTCTGTTGCGCTGTTGAGTTCTGTGGTGATTATGTCCTTGACAAATGCTATCGTGTCATTCGCAACGCCATGAACCTAAAAGAAATTTCAGATATTAGCCACATATCCTGCATCTTTGTAAATTACTGTTTTAAATACCTAGTTTTATTTCTGTCTTGCTCCTGGGACCTCCAAGCTTTGCCTTCTATGGTTCTAACTTTTGTTAAGAAGAACAGAATTCAGCTCACTGACAGATTTGAACCATTTTCTTTACATGTGGAAGTGATAATTGAGTTCTTGGCTACACGTGTCAGAACCAAGTTTACATTCAGCTTTACCTGAGGGCAGCAACGCAGTGTGTATGCATCTTGTACTCTATCACAAAATCGATGAGATTCTGCAACACAGCAAAATGAAAACTTATTATTTTAAGAAGAGGAAAACATAGCAAGGTTAGTATTTTAATACTAAACCTCTCTAGCCCCAAGTCAAAATATGAGATTTTCCCTGGAGTGTCACATGTTTGGATTTATGCGAAACGTTACAATCTGCTTCCAGTTTTGTAGCTTATAGTGTATCCTGTTTTAAACGTTTTACAACAAGATTTAAAAAAGAAAATGAAATGAGATTTGCATATTGTCAGGCTGAAGACTGACAGCTGGATATACAGTATTTAAGGAACAATTTCTTTTTTTTAATATTTGGGACCTTTTAGCAAGAAATGGGGGAGCAAAGTTCAAGGAAGGGCTTTCTGGTGACTGGACCAGTGCTGAAAACTCTGTGGAAGGGGCTGAAACAATTACCCAGCTGAAGAAGAGACATTCCTTTGGATTCTTGGCCTTTAGCAAATTATATCCAGGACTTAATTATTTTTTCTTACATACTTTTGAGGGCTAGATACAGAATTTTAAAAATAAACCAAGTTGAAGTTATCTGATTGTTTATCTGATTCATCTAAGCAAATATGCCAAGTATGTATCACCCAAAATGGCCATTCACCTGCTATTTCAGAGGGATGGTGATCAGAATCTAAAAGTGACCTGAATCGAAAAGCCACCTCTATCTGCCCTCGATGGGGTCGCAGTGCATGAATATCTGTTTTAAAATAAAGATAGAGAGTTACAGCATAACACTTATCCCCTCTCTTCAAATTAAGGACAGTTTTGCAAGCATCACTTGGACAGGTGTTTTAAGCCTGGGACTATAGTTACGTGAAATATACAGCAAAATTTTAAATTCAAACGATAAAACCCTAAAATGTAGCCATTTAATACATATGCAGCATTTCCCTGCTCCTTTGAAGAGATATGATCTGCAAGATGTATAGTGCAAGTAGCATCTGCAACAAATGCGACAGTGTGGAGTGATTCTGGCCAGGATTTTAGCCAGCCATGCCCTTTCCAGTATATTCCATTCTATTGCCTCTCAGCCCATATCAGCTAACATTCAGTGACACTGAGCATGCTCAGTCTCTCTCGCTTACATTGTTTTGGATGGTTCTACAAACTTTGTGGTTCTCCTAAGCCTACTGGTACCTGGCTATTATGTGTGGATGGCACCATTTTGGCTACTTAAGAATCCACACTTGGAGACTGAGATGTTGGAGCTTAGTATATATTTTTCCATAAGGCATAGCAGACACTAAAAGCAATGATGTTGGTAGTTCCCATGGTCACAATTCTGTTGGCACCGTGAAGATCAGAATCACATCGTCACAGAAATGTGGGAGATGCGACAAAGCAAATACCCAAAGCCCCAGATTTAAGTATGTTCTGTAAAAGTGACCTTAGAAAATGCAATACCAACCAGTATCAAAGGCTCTTGTTGTGCCCTTCAAAACTTCTAGTGTGAGGGCAGCCACTATGTCAGCTTGTCTAGCAATTGCACTGGCCCTTTCAACTGCTTCACATCCTAGAGAAGTAATCATTTGCGTCCCGTTTATAAGAGCTAGGCCCTTCAAAGAAACAGAAAGCATTAATTTTCAGAGACTCTCTCTGTATGAAAACACATGCATTTCCCCCCCCTCCCCTCACAGGCAACGGCTGGGGGGAAATAGGGACATTCCGGGATCAAACGAGAAGCTGGGATTGCTTTTGTAATTCTGGCACAGTCCCTGGAAAATAGGGACATTTGGAGTTTATGAACTTGACATCCGTTGCTCTGGCCCCGCCCACAACTGTGGCCACTGGAGTGAAAAAGATTCTCCCAACCTAAAGCTGCTTCACCGTAAAAGTGCCTTCTAGTGCAAATTAGAAATGCTCCCTTCGCCATCACGATACCTGTCAAGGCATCCCGATTTGACTGGGACATCCCGGAATTATAGAAGCCACCCCAGCTTCTGATTAGATCCCATAATGTCCCTTTTTTGGTGCTGCTCTCTCTCGAGAGTCAGCTGGCTCCCACGAGAGTTTGACCCTGAAAGATTCACATCTTTCACGCAAAAGGAGGCGGCTGAGCTGGAGCCCATGGTGGGGGGGGGGGAGAGGGAGCTGCTGGTGGTGCAGGCCAAGCCACCACCACTGATGGAGGAGAGGACAAAGACAGGGATGGCAATGGGGAGGGGGAGGAGCCACTTTGGGGCTCGCTGAAGGAGATGCTGCTGGTAACGGAGACAGGGGACTGGGGCGGGGAAACCCCAGCCAGCTCGCATGTGCATTTGGCACTAAAAAATGTGCACCCCAATTTTAATCAGAAGAATATTGGAGGGTACGTATGACATGGTCTAGCTACATAGTACATGCCTCCGCCTACTGGACCATTGCTGAGATTCTATGCATTTTATTACCTCTTTGGGCTTCAGTGTAATTGGTTTCAGTCCATGAGCTTCTAGCACCTGTAAAACAGTATCAGTAACAAACTTATTGGGCTTATCTTTTGTTACCCCATAAATATTTTTAACTACTCTACTGAGAAGGAAGATGCCCGAGCAGAATTGAAGAAGTGGCTTCAAGGATGTTTCGACACCCATAGTTTTAAAAAACTAATGGTTTAAATTAGTAGTAGTTTCAGTTCCATACATGGAATCCCACTTCTGCATTCTTTTAACATGCCCTTTCAGGCTCATGTAGTTCCTCTAGTTTGCACCGGAAACAACATATTCGTTTTAGGAAGCCTCTCCATATATCGCCTTACCAGCATAAAAATTAATTAAAAACATGACCCCGTGTTTCCTTCTGAGCTGCAATTCTGTGCATGCTCACTTGGCAGTGAGTCCCAGTTAAATCAGTGGGACATGCTTATAAGGAAACATTACCACAGTTGCTGTCAGAATTCATTTATGTTCATCACTTGAAACCATTTGAAGTTAACAGACCCTTTGCTGTCAGAACATTTCGGCTTCAGAAAAGTTCCAGCATTTGCATGCTAAGAATACACAAATCCTTTGCTTTGTCTATGGGTTACGACATCTATATTAAAACCATGGTAGACATTGTGCAGGATCATTTGCTCGTGCTACCAGAAAATCACGAGCAGCACTCAGTCACTGTCACTGAACAACAGAAGGGCACCTTGCCACTCCCATTGTGCTACAAAGCCAGCAAGACTTTCTGGATAGATTATTTCTACTGCTGTCTGCTCCAGTTCTTCAGCTTGCAGTTCTCCATACATACTGATCGGTAACGTTAGACTTAGAATACCAAGGGACTGGATGCAATCCCAATCAAATTTTTGCTCTTGCACTCTTCCTTTGGGAGGGGGTGGAATTAATTCTGTACACAGGTACAGAAATACCATTGCACATGCCCAGAATGGAAGAAAGTAAGTTGAAAGTGGGGAGTAGTGGTTGAAGGGAGAGGGCAGAAAATACAGCTTAGAAACATTCCATCAAAGAAAAAGTGGACAATCTATGAAAGCTCTAAGACTTTGTGGGAGGCGGGGGGCGGGGCAGCGGACAGTGTGTGGATGGTCACGTGCCACTCAAGCACACATTAAAAATGAATTCTGAACATTCAGTTTGTGACACAAAGCCCTCATATGTCTCCCTGTTGCACATCTGTTATAATTGGTCAATAACTTTCCCCCATTAAAATCTAGGACTGAGACCCTACATTTACTTATAGGATTGCATTGTAAGAAGCCTAAATTTATTACAAATCATTAATGTGCAAAGCATCAGAACAAAACACCCCTCTTCACCTTTCACCATTCTCACGAATGCTTCAGCAAACCAAAAGGAACCAGCAGAGCATTGTCTCTTACATATTTTGCATCAGCCCATCCACTCTTTGGAGACCACATCTTCCCTTCTCCTATGAGTCCCAGAGCAAGATGGGAAAGAGGGGCTAAGTCTCCACTGGCTCCAACAGTCCCTTGCTCAGGAATGTAGGGCAGGCAGGATGCTATAAGAACAAGAGGGTGAGGGAGAAGCAGAGCTTGGTTTCAGAAATACACATACCATAATTCACCCTGCCCCTTGAAATTTAGCAGTGAGCTTTACTCCCAGTGACCAGAAGGAGGGCCTTATGCAAACCAAACTTGCCCATTGCCTTTCATAGCTACAACATTCTATTGACCACCAATATCCCAAATGGCACTGCCCCTTTCAAGGAGACAGTCCACAGCACATTGCTTCTCTTGGAAAGTATATTCTGAAATCAATCTTTCTTTAGAAGCTGCAGGTGCAGGTTAAACTGCAAGGTGCAGGATGTCACCACCTCTCTTTGCACAGTTCTAGGTACAAATGGGAAAGTTGCTGCATTTTTTTGGCACAAAGAGACAAAATTGTTTTTTTGATGGGAGCTTCATCCCCTTTCAAAATTATGTCTATTGCACTGAAAGCTAAACCCTGCAAAAAATGTGGCATAGCACAGATTACATTACCATTAAATGCTTCAATGACTTGATGAAGAGTTTCCAGTGATATTCCACTGTATCCTTTTGCTAAGACATTGATCCTTAGAGCTAAGAGCATACGAGATCTCTCTGGAATCAAAGGCTTCCCAACACCTGCAAGGATAAACAACCACCTCAGTATAGCCTAGACTAAATCATAAGAAAGCATCTGGGAGATCTGCTCTTCCTTACCTGCAGAATGTGACCGAACCAAATTCACTTGAAGTTCCCTCAGAGGGAGAGAGAAAGAAAGGGGAAAAACACACAATACAATTAGTTCCAACTGCAGGCAAAGTTTTAAATTTCTTGCAAAAACTGAACAAATAAAATTGTAGACAGAACGTTTAACCAATGGAAAGTAATCTCATGAAATAAAACACGTTAGAATCTGTTTGGCTGCATTTTCTATAGGTTTCTTTTGTAAATTTAAAAAAGAAACATACCATAGCTTGCTGTTTGGAATAACAGTTCGTGCAAACTTCCCAAAACCTGTAGTAATTCCATAGACAACTGAAAGAAGAATGATAAAACAAATGCTTTACTTGCATTTTTTAAATAAAAAAATTGCAATTGAATATATGTAATCACTTTTACATATATTGCAGTACTCCCAACTGCTCACACCCAATTTATAAAATAAAGTAATTAATGGTTACCTCTCTGTTCCTTTAGAATACTTTCAATGACATCTCTTGATTCTCTGACTTTAGTTTCAGCTTCAGGGGTTAACTAGAAATAAAATTGCCTTTATATATTTTTTTATTTCAAACTAAAGTGCAAATAAAGTATCTACAGGGGTTGCTGTCACTGTAGGACATTTGGGCAGAGGTCTAGGGCCCCTCTCAGGAAAACATGCAGAAGGGCCCCCAGATACCACAGGGCTGGCTAAAACAGGAAGTGGGTCAAAGGTCCAGGGTCTAAAATCATCTAAATTCCACCCCTGGGTACTTTAGAGTTATAATCTTTCCAGTACTCACCTTAATCTTATACAGCCCCTTTCCTAAATTGACTAAATCCTGTGTTGTCAAATGGTTCCCATCTAAATAAATATACTATATAAAAGAACAGCATTAGAATAAGAGAATACGACATGGATAAGCGTAAATAACCAGTTGTGCTATGCGGACACAGTATTTATGTCTCTGTACAGTCAGTGTTGCTACAATGGAAATATCACATTTTCATATAAGTGTTTAAAAGAACTATTGCAGTTAATTTTTTTCAGCACTTCAAAAATCTGTGACTATGTTGCATTACAGAATTGATTTTTTTTTTAAAGTTCTATTTCGTTACTATTTATTGTGCAGCACAAGCCTGTTAATGTTTTCTCAGAAGCAAATCCCACCGTGTTAAATAGGAGCACAGGCACATAGCATTTAGCATAGTATATATAGCAGACTTAGAACTTAACACATAGGGAGGAGAATTAAGGACAGGGAAAGACATAATTCAAACACCAGTTCTTCATAAGTTACTCTTGCTCCATACCTGTTCTGGTTCTCGATATTTACTATATCTGAAGCACAGCATAGGAAAATATATAATGTAATACAAGATCGTTTAGATTTCAGTCCACATTTGCGGGTATAGGAGAGACAACATGCAAAAACTAAGCACCCTTGATTTATGAGGCCTCAGAAAAACAATAGACCACCACCACATTTTTTATAAGGATACAAATGAACACCCTCAGGCTGTGATGGAATGAAGTCTGGGGACATTACATCTCCTTGTATCACTGAAAGGAAAGAGAAACAACCATAAATGACATTTTGTTTATTCTGTGGCCAGTGTAGTTATGCTTTCACAGGCTATCCCTGTAATCAGAAGTGTATTTTGCTAAGCATTTGGAATCGCTCCTAAACGCCCTTATTCCATTTTCCCACATGAGAAGCTGTGGCTCAGTGGTACTCTGGGAAACCATCTGTTTTACATGCCAAAAGGTCTCAGGTTTAATCCCTGGCATCTCAAAGTAGGACTGGGAACTGCCTGACACTCCAAAGAGTAGCTGCTGGTCGGTGTAGACAAGATGAGCCAAGTGTCCGACTTGGTGTGAGACAGCTTCCTGAGTCTCTTTGCACTTCTGATTTCCAACCAGCAACTCCAGTATGTAAGCAACATATCAATGAGGCCTGGATGTGATCAATCTACTATATGATCCATATCAGCGGGGGCGCCTGATGCTTTACAGCAGAAGCCAAAAGACCCACAAGCTACTGCTTCAAAGACCCTATCAACTAATTTACGTATGGCAGTGAGTTGGAAACGAGGAGGAATAACACAGCACAAAATGGAAGCAATTGCTTCTTTTCTTCCTCTATTTGCTGTAGTCAAAGTCTGGGATGTTACAGTTAATGAGATGCAGAAGACACCCCAGTTTAAGTCCAATGTATACAGTGGTACCTCAGGTTACATACGCTTCAGGTTACAGACTCCGCTAACCCAGAAATAGTGCTTCAGGTTAAGAACTTTGCTTCAGGATGAGAACAGAAATCGTGCTCCAGCGGCGCGGTGGCAGCAGGAGGCCCCATTAGCTAAAGTGGTGCTTCAAGTTAAGAACAGTTTCAGGTTAAGAACAGACCTCCGGAACAAATTAAGTACTTAACCTGAGGTACCACTGTATCTGGATACATGTGGAGATTTCTTTCAGCCTACCAACATGGGAAATGGAAACAGCTTTCTAAGCAACCCTTGTGAAAATAACTGGCTGAAATACTGCACACTTAAAATGCATGCTAGTCCCCCCTAGACATTGATGGTATTTGGAGAGACTTCCCATCACAATATCAAAACATTTTCATTGTTTCCTGCCAAGCATTTCCCTTTAGGAACTTCTCCTTAATATGTGCAAACATTGCAACTTGTGGTGTCTGGTCTTCCGCTTACTTACCAACTTCCACAAATTCATTGTCCTCGAGGGCATCTTCCAAAGTATCATCCTGATCCAGCAATCCAAGGCCTTTGCAACGGCGAACGTAGAATTGTACTTCCTCCACAGAACCAAAGCCTCCATTGTCAGGCTTGTTTTTCATGTAACGCCTCACGGCTTCTTTCCCCAGCCACCTCACTGTGCTTGCGCCACTTCGGCACGGCACAGCAAGCCATTCCCCTCGGACATGCACCGTGTACCTTGGCATGCTTGTCCTCCGCCTGGGCTTGTCCCTCCACTGCGGAGGGTCGGTGTGAGCACCGCATAGGTGTGCAATCTGAAGCACATGCCACCTGACTGAATTCCACTGTCCCAATCAGAAAAGGCCAAAAAGCTACACACCCACCCGAAAGTTCCCTCACTCCGCAAACAAGCATGTGTATTTAAGCCAAATATCAAATCACACACATACACGGGTGACACACCCCTATCACAACAAAGCAATGAGGAAACGGGAAAAGACGAATCCAAAGCTATGTACACATTGGCATTTATTCTGGACTCCGCGCACTCCCACATCCATACTCCAACCTTGCCCTACTAAGTTCACTATAGAACTTCATCTCCTGATAAGTTCGGCAAACAAGCCGTTTTCAGTTTTAGGAAGATGCTTCAGATGTTTTTTCATTGGGGGCAGGGTGCATGATTGAACCTGACCCATGGACCCTTCCCAAAAATTGTTATTTAAGCAGCAGTTGACATTTTATGCTGCTTCCCGATAGCCAATATTGCTCTACTGTCTTTATCCATTACAGTGGTACCTTGGTTTACAACCATAATCCGTTCTGGAGGTACGTTTGTAAACCAAAACGGGTTGTAAACTGTTTCGCCCCCCAAAAATTGTTCGTAATCCAAAGAAAGGTTGCAAACCGGGACACGTACTTCCAGGTTTGATGTGTTTGTAATCCAAAATGTATGTAAACCAAGACATATGCAAACCAAGGTACCATTGTACTTTATTGTTTTTATTCATAGATTGCAAGTCAGGGATGTGGATCTTTTTTTAGCTTAAGAGTTATTCTCCCCCACCACCACCACCTTAGAGGAAGTCTTCAGGGGACCACTGACAATAGCGGGCAAATATATCTGTTGCCCTTGCAGAGCAGGCTGCATTTAAGCCTCTCTCTCTCTCTCTCTCTCTCCCTCCCTCCCTCCCCCCCCCACCTCTCAATCCACCTGAGCAAGAGGAATTATCATAGTTCAAGGACACACTCCATCTAGGAAAAAGCAATGGTGAAAGGTTTACCATGCTTGTTATAAGCCATGCTGAAGGTTCTGCAGAGCCATCTGGCAAGGCGAAAAATCTCAAAAATCAAGACAAAAAATGGCAGCACTGGAGCTGGGTTCTGCATGTGCACCAGAAAGAAGTCAGTGAGCATGAGCATGTCATTATTCACCATCAAAGTCAGAACAGGTAGGTGTCTTATGCCACTGCACACTGTTATCAAGAAGATGGGACAAGCTGCAGAAATGTGATCTACAATTTATTACTTCTATGAGCTACTGCAATCCCAGCTACAAAATCAGCACTAGTCAACCATGGCAATTTAACAACCTTTAGACTTCAGCAACCTGAACAAGAGTCGTTTGTAGTCGGGCTAACTATTAATCATTAATTCAGATGTGTCTTTTGGGCACTGGATTATGTAAGTATGCATGTTGCTGTCACTGAACTGCTCTTAACTTAGGCAATTTCTGACTAAGTTGTTTTTATATCTGATTAAGTTGCTTTCGTGCCTGTTGGTACTTTTATTTTTCTGCAATGCATGGGGGGGGGGAATAGTACTTATGCTGTCATAAAGAATACCACCGACTTACCTTACAGAACTGTTAACGATTATAACTAGGTGATACATGTAAAGGACCTTGAACATTTATGTAGCACTTTCAGGTCTTAAATGTTATTGCTATTTCATACTTGTTTGTTGTTAGCCACTCAGGGTTCTGTAGACAAGGTAATTTAAGTAACAAATATGGCAGAATTCAGATAATATGCATTTCCAAAACAGTGGGAAAGTGATGTTGCCATTATTTAAAAAAATAAAACTTCAATTAAGAACGTTCAGGGTGGCTTACATACAATAAAACAGATTAAGTCACCTCCATGGAGAGAACATGACAAGTGAGATCAAATGGAGTTCAGAAACTTAACTGCTTTATCGTCCAGTGTTAAGGTCTCTAAGAGGGGTGGAGAATGGGCAGCCTTGAGACTACAGTGGTGCCCCGCAAGACGAATGCCTCGCTAGAAGAAAGGGTTTTGTGTTTTTTGAGCTGCTTCGCAAGACGAATTTCCCTATGGGCTTGCTTCGCAAGATGAAAACGTCTTGCAAGTTTGTTTCCTTTTTCTTAACACCGTTAATACAGTTGCGACTTGACTTCGAGGAGCAACTCATAGAACGCGGTGTGGTAGCCTTTTTTGAGGTTGTGAAGACTTTGGTGATTTTTGAAGCTTTCCCAAAACTTCTTTTGCAGCCATTTGGTAAGTTAAACTTTTAAAACTTTTTTGGGGGTTTTTGGATTTTGGGTTGGGGTGTTTGGAATTCAAGGACTTGGCGTTGGGGAGGGGTTTGCAAGAATCTGGAAGCTTGTGTGTTTTTTTTCTGCATTTTTATGATTTTCTGTGACCATTGGGCCACTCTGCTGTTTTTTAAAAAAAATTCTGGATTTGAATTTCTGTGTGATGGGTGGCTGGGGGAACAGTTGAGGAGGGGTTTGCAAGAATCTGGAAGCTTGTGTGGTTTTTTTCTGAATTTTTAAGATTTTCTGTGACCATTGGGCCACTCTGCTGTTTTTTAAAAAAAATTCTGGATTTGAATTTCTGTGTGGTGGGTGGCTGGGGGAACAGTTGAGGAGGGGGTTCTTCAGCAAGAAGCAAAGAGTGGAAGAGGAACCTTCTTCGAGTTGTCCCCCAGAGTCTTAGAAAATGTACTGTGCACTTTGTTGATTTTTAAATGTTTTTCTGTCATGTCTAGAAACTTAATTTATTGTTCCTTCAATTTTGAAATGCTCTTTACAGTATGTGTGACTTTAAAGAGCACTTAATAAACTCTTGTTGTACCAAATTTGGCTTTGTTTGGACTTTTTTTGACCATAGGAACGCATTAATTGAATTTCAATGCATTCCTATGGGATTTCGTGCTTCGCAAGACGAAAAATTTGCTAGACGAAAAAACTCACGGAACGAATTAATTTCGTCTTGCGAGGCACCACTGTAGATCAGACCTGCAGAACCTTCTGATTCAGGTCATGGTCCCTTTCACAACAGAGCATGGTGGAAAGCAACTGTGTTGCATACTCAGGCCTTTAGCATCTGCATGTGTCTGCCTGGTTCCTCGTCTCTTTCTCCTTATGGCAACTGGATTGCTGCAGGCTAGCAGCTTGCTGGATGGTGACTGCTTGGTGGGGGATGGAGCCAAAAGGGAATGGAATGGAAGGGTATGCATGAGAGTATATATATGGAGGGGGAAGAGAGCATGTGCATGTTTGTGTTTCACACCCAACACCAGTTCTGGTCCCACCCACCACTGGGAATGCAAGGGCTAGACAGTAGCTTTTTGCATGTCATACTCTGTATATTGGAGGCAATTAAATATACGGAAAGATGATCCGATTTATCATAAAAGATTTATTGCTTCAAATAAAGCAGTACATGTAGCAAAACTATGAATGCTACGTGTGGTGAAGTGCCAAATGCAGTGTCAAAATATATCTTATTTTTCCCCGGTTTTGCAGAATTTTAAATGAGGCACAAGATATAGATGCCAGCATGAATAATCAGGGGTGGGAGGCAGGGGGCGCTTATTGATTCAGCATCAGAACAGAAAGCTAGTTCAGTAATCAAACATGCAAGTTACAATGATTTTTCACAGAGGGAGTGGGGAGAAGAAAGTCGTTTTCTTATCGGAGTTTATCCTTAGGTCTGCAAAGGTTGGGCTGTTTGTCCGTCGAGTCCCAGGTCTTTGGTTACCAACATCGCAGTCACTGGATGCATGGAAGCCTTGTGCTGGTGGAAAGCACTGACAGCTTGAGCACGGGATTTGTCAAATTTATAGAGGTCCCTGAAATAGACGCCACAAAATAAATTTTAAACGACTTTTTTAAAAAATCAAGACAAGTACCATTTATCTTTGAAGAACCACTTTGCACATATTTAACATGTAAGATGCAGAGAACTTCCTATATTGAACCACTGCCTGCCTGCTTAGGTAATTGTCTTACTTAAACAAAGGACGAGTGAATTTCATTCTGCCTTGTTCTGTAGCCATCTTCAGGGCCAAAGGAATGGCATCTTCCCAGTTGGCTTGAATGCAGAGACGCAGCCATCTGAAAAGCAGAATTAGCCTTTAGTCAGCTAAATCAAGATCAAGAAAATCCAAGTTTAACAACAAGCAGTCTCCAAAGAGTTGGGACTAGGACCTGGGATACTTCAGGACAGTCACTGTCACAGTCTAATCTACCTCACAGGGATTCTGTGAAGACCAAACCATTTATACCACCCTTTGCTCTTTGAAGGAAATGTGGGATATAAGTAATAATCTTTAAATTTATATATATTTAAAATGCTTGCATAGTTTATTCTGCATCTAAGATTGCTTATTCAATGAATTTGGATCTCATTGGCAAGATGTTAGGGCCCCACAAACCACATGCTTGCATGTATCTCTAAATAAACAGGTAAGTTTAGAATTTTGCAACCAGCTAAGCCTGGTTGGACAGTATTCAAAACTACTTTCAGGGATCTATACCAGGGACGAACAGGTTTATTTGTTTTCTCAGTTGTTTTACAACCTCAGGTATAAATGTGCACACACATCACTGCTCAGTTCTATGAAATTGTGCTTTCATTTATATTTTATATATATAAGAGGCAATTCGACTGCAGATTTAAATAAAAGTTACTACTATATAGTATCAGTACATTACATTCGTAAAATTTCAGAATATTCATAACATTTTACAAACCTGAATCTAATTTCAGAGTTGTTCACAGCATTGAAGTCATAAACTTCCTGCATTCGTCTTACATGGCTCACTGGAAGAGGATTCTAAAAATATAAGACAAGAGGGGTACAAGTACAGAGGGGTAGGAAGAAAAGCAACATCAAGTCAATGACTCTTCACTTCTAAATAACTGCGCCAGCTCTAGAGTTCTAGAGCAAGAAGCCATTGTGCCCGCACAATAGGACCACATGTTTCTGAAATGACACACAGACCAAAGTTGTAAGCAACAAAATGGCGCTCATTCTGCAGTCTGCTGCCAAAGTGCATGTATACTGTTCAGGGTGGTCAGAACAGTAGGACAAGATACCAACATCCCACAGTGGTTCTACAACTCGATATAAGCACAGCAATAAGCTGGAAGTACAGTGGTACCTCAGAAGTCAAATGGAATCTGTTCCAGAAGTCCGTTTGACTTCCAGAATGTTCGGAAACCAAGGCATGGCTTCCGATTGGCTGCAGGAAGCTCCTGCAGCCAATCGGAAGCCGCAGAAGTTGTGTCAGACGTTTGGTTTCCAAAGAACATTTGCAAACCGGAACACTCACTTCTGGGTTTGCAGTGTTCAGGAGCCAAAACGTTCGACTCGCAAGGCATTCGTGAACCAAGGTACGACTAAGACTTAGTCTCTTATCTACTAAGATGACAAGATCTAACAGTCATTGGAAGAGAGAAATGAACATGCTATGACTAATAACTGAACGCCTTCATCTGCCCCAGCTGCAACAAAACACGCCTCTCCTGCATCTGTCTCTATAGCCACAACAGGAACTGACACCTTCCAACAGCACTCCTTCATTGTCTCTCGAGACAAACGGATACCAACCTCCCCTAAATTTCACTCTACAAACTTGGAAACGCAACAAGATGGCGCCACAAACGTTTATCCTGAAAGGTAAAAAAAAACCCTTTTGCCTATATTTACCTCCAGCAGCAGTAGTGCAAGAAACTCAATAAGCTGGTGTGAAGACAACTCTTTTATATCAGCTGAGCTGAAGGAGCCAAGATCGTTTTCCGTAGCCTATAAGACAAGCAGAATTAGGAGGAAATTGGAGAAGCAGACCTTTAAGAAATTACAGGGGGATATTGTCTTTGATTCTAAACACCAGAAGTTAAGATTTGAATTTAATTTGTTTAGAAAACCCCATTTGGATACATAAAAGTCAAAAGAATAACTCAAGGGCTCTGGATTCTTTTCTCTTGTGAGGAATGCTATCTGCATGGAATCCTTATGAATTACAGTGACCTTTCAGCTGATCTGTCAGTAGATACCCAGATGGGCACAAGTGGATCAAATCAGCCCAACCCACCTCTATCTATCCCCCGATCCATAATCAAATCATGAATAAAGTACTGTATTATGACTAACTTGTTCTTAAAACAGCACCAGACTAGAGAGGCAGGCTGAGACAGCAGCCATGACCCTGAAGGAAGATTCAGAAAATGCCTTAGCTTTTGAGCAATAGCCCCTTCTCTTTATCTGATCTGCCCAACCTCCAACACCCTATCTCCCCCTATACCACATTTACTGCCTCTAATGTAAGAGAAGTTTGCAAGCTCATGTCAAAAAAATAAGAAGTCTGAAGTTAAATAAAAAATTCAATAAAATCTGAAGTTTGCCTCAATTATAAATTGACTTTACTAAATTCTACATTGCATTGAATCCCCAGTTATGCATGTTGAAAGACAATGCAAAATAAAACACTTACAAGTAATTCACTCAACATGTCTTTAACACGTTATGTACATGAGACATTAACTCACTTTGACCCATCTTTGACTCAAGGCAACACAAGCATTTGACAACGTTGAATCATACCTGGTGAAGACATAAAAATGAGTATGTCTTGTTTAGAAAAGGTTTGTATCTTGAACATAAACAGAACACATGCATTTGTATCTAGAGCACACATCCAAATTCTATCTTGCCAGCTGCTACAATATAGCTTATGAGTAGCTCTCTTTTATACTCCTCACTGATCACATCTGGCTTTGAAGAAATAGAATAGACTATATTACTGTTACAAGCCACAATAGAAAACGAAAAATGAAGTCTAAAGGAACATTTTATAGAGCAGACACATTTAGAAATTGGCATAACCAAAACTGTGCAGGTGTTTGAGGAATATTTTTTATTATTGAAAGAGACATGCTTATGCTGCATTTAGATCATCTGCTATAGTCATACTTAAAACATTTCTTACCCCAGTCCAAAAGGATCAAATCAAGTTAAATAAAGTGTGTGTGTGTGTGTGTGTAAAATTGACTATAAATAAAAAATTTAAAAATAGGAAAAGTGATTATATTAAGGATCTAATATAATCAAGGATATATTTTTATTAAATATATAATTGAATATTAAATTCTAATCAATTCAGTTATATAAATAGCTCTAATTATATATTTAATTTAAATTATATTATAATTAAATAAACACGATTATTATTAAATATACAGAGGTGCTCTTTCAAAACAAATAGAAATGTTACAGCAAAAGATTGTGTGCTTACGTTGGTTTTACTGGAGGCATGCCGGGAGTGTTCATCCATGCATTCCAGTCAACTTTGTTAAGAAGGTCAACCTAAAATGAACATACCAACAAATTATCCAAAATCTTGGAAGTGTTTTATTTCTTTGAAACTCATATTGATTCCAATGTTTTTGAAGACTTGTTTTTAACTGTTCATTGATAATATTAATGGGAATCACATATAGATGAAATGATTAGAATAACTTGAATGGTGAAATCTGAGGTTTCTTCTACTCCTTTCATGCCTAATTCCATATATAACAAGACCAGTGTAATGTGTGGTTCTACCAGCATTTTGCCGCACTGATGACACAGCAAAGATGGCATAATTGAGAAGGCGTTGTGAAACTGAAAGCTACAGACTTCAGAAGACTAAGCCCTCAAAAAATCATTCAGCAAAGTGGACTTTTTTGGGGGAGGGGAGAATGACTCACTGTCAGATTAAACTTTTCAATTAACACTGTTGTTGCATGATAAACACAAGTAAGCAGAGAGCTAATCAGGAGAGGTACACATATCTCTGCAATATGGGAACTTCTAGGAGATAGGAGAGAGGGGTACCTGCAGTACAAGTTTTTTCTAGGTGGAAGTTTACTTTCCTATGACACTATAACTCTTGCTGACATTTGTTGCATAGCCAAAGGGATCGGAGCCTGGCTGCTCTTGATGGGGTTACACTCTAGAATCTCGAACTGGAAAATTAGCACCTAACCTTGTCCTTGAAGTAGGAGTACAGGAAATTCTTCCAGTCTTCCGTGTCTATGCTCTTGTATGCAAACTGCTGGATGTATGCCCTCAAGAAGCCAATGAAGACATCTGGGAACATATAAGATGCATTAACCAGAAATAAAGTGCTGCAACAGGAAAAAAAGCCACACATATTTAAAGGTAAATTAACCAATACCTGGCCCTCCAAGAAGCTGTTCTAGATAAAGTAGTAAAGCAGAGCCTTTCTCATACGGAACAGAAGAATATGCAACATCAGGATCTACTTCTTTCAGATTAGGGATCAGGTGAGTCACAGGGTTTGTGCTTCCAAGGGTGTTTATCTAGAAAGAGACACATATTGCTGGAAACTGATGTGCTTGGAAGTTGTAACAGAACTCTACCTGCCAGCAACCAGATTGTTGAACTTCCTCCCAAAAGAAGTCTGGTTGTTCCTCTTGTGTGTTTTCGGAGGGTAACAAAGTATTTGTATCCTAATTCATCTCCTGCACTGGAATGTATTTAAAAACTTACCCATTGATTTTATGCCATGCTTATACTGCTGCTTTGTTATTTAATTGATATACTGTTTATTTCCCTCCAATTTTTACTGAAGTTGTGCTTTTTAATCTGGAAGCTGCCTTAGAGGCCAAAAGGCAGGATAGAACTTTTCTAAAGATAATTACCGCAATATGGAGTAGAAATTAATTCTATCTGCAATACCAGATAAAAGCAATAAATTTGCTCTTAACTTTACATGTGCCCAGCGTTTCTGAAGAAAAGTTATGTGTAAGTTAATCTTCAAATCAACCAGAAGCCCTCACCGTGTTCTGCAATTCTCTCCAGCCTCCCTGAGCTTGGAAATGCCTGAACTGCTCACCAAAGAGCCGGCCACCGATCCTGCGTTCCAAGTAAACTGTGTGTCCTTCGTTTAGCCTGAAATACCAAGCGCACAAGTCATTATTTCTGTAAATTAGAGAAATCTTTTAATGAGTTAAACGCACACCAAAAGAAAAGCCAAGTACGTCTTAAAAGCACTTGGATTTCACCTACCAAAAATGCTCCCAGGTCTTGTTTGTTACCAAATTCCCAGTCCAGCTATGAGAAATTTCATGGGCGATAACCTGAAATGTATAGAAGTGGCATAAGCACATAGCGGTCTCTTTTGTCACAAACACACATATCCGTAACAGAAAGGAGAGTGCTACTTAGGTGGCAAAGATGCCCTAAACTGGCCCCATGCAGACATGGTAATAACCATGCAGAAGTTGCTTCTGTTTTCATGGAGGCACTTGGGTTATCCTCCACTGAAATTAATCATCAACTCCCAAAATGCAAAATACTGTTGAATTTGTTACACATTTTAGTGGCATCTAACCTAACATTTTAAAATTTGTTTGGTTTCAGCTTTATTATGGTTTCAATAGAGAAGCCTTTTTATTCAAAAAAGGGGGGGCACCAGTAACTCCATGATCCTAAATACATTCTTTGGCCTTTCTCACACACAGAAGAGGGTCCCAAAACAACTTACAAGATAAAAATAAAACCACACTTGTTCCAAGAAAGGCAGGTTTAATGTACACTATCCCAGTGAGCCTCCATAGATCTGGTTTCCAGATCACCAGCAACCTCCACTCCAGCAGCTACTACCACTGCTGTTATTGTTTTTTTAATTCACCATAATTTGTTGTCTTTTTTAATTCACGTAATGTTTTGCGAACAGTTGGTCTAAGTGTTAACTGAGCAGACTGTTTGTATTGTGCAGAACTCTATAAAGTTGCAACATTTTCAGTTTCTTAATACTTAAGTTTAAAAACTTAAGACAAGTAAACAGTGAGAAATAGGTGATCTCCAATGTTAGTCAAATTCTAAAATAAATTTCATTCATTTCAGTGGGTCTACGTCTATTCCAAGTATGATTACTGCTTAGAAAACATACATAGCACCTAATGTTTCAGGCACCTTGTTAAGATTTCAGGGGAAAAGAGCACCTTCAGTATAAATACTTGAGTACAGCTGGACTTATACTTACATTGGATAATGATCTGTCACCAGCCTGCAGCAAACAGAGATCAAAAAGTTACCTCTCTTATCCATGTCAGATGAAAGCTTAATATAGTATCATTTCCCAATTCAGGCTAAGTTAAGGTCACTTAGCAAAATGAAAGCCACCATGCAAGTCCCAAACTCTAAATGGCTTTAATATGATGTCCTAAGGAAAGCTATGTAATGTAACCCATAAGAGAGGGAGACACACTTACCAGTAATGTGGGAGTCACAAAAGTGAGGCAGGGGTTCTCCATACCACCATATGGAAATGATGGTGGCAACACTAGCAAGTCATACTGACCCCATACATAAGGACCTGCTAGGTCTTCTGCAATTTTCAGCATGGCTTCTGTCTGAAAAAAAGGTCAGGAAACTAAAATAGATTCTAATATATATACAGGTAATGCCCAATTAGTGAGATAAGATACACCACAGACAGGATAGTAACTGACCTGTTCGTACAGAATGAATTTTACTCAGACAATAGAAACCAAGTCCCTCCTGACTTGAAATTCAGGAAGTCTGTAAAGTCATTATTAGTGGGGAAATAATACAAGTGGCTTCATATTTTAAGAAGTGGGAAAGAACTTACAAACCTGTCACAAATATGGCATTTTGAATTACAGTAATACAAACACAACTGTGCTAGAGGTAGGATGGTAGGATACAATCACTTTCAAATCATCTTATATGCAGGTGAGAGTTGTGGAGTGATTATCTGAGACTATCTTGAAGCTGAGGAATGCAGTCAGCTTAGTCAATTAGCTTTTAATGTTCAAACTTGCTATATGTTTGCTTTACATAGGGTCTTCGGAGAACACTTGTTCGCTTTTCTTATGCAAAATGTACAGCCATCTAAGGAATAATTAAGTACAGGCAATGACCATTTCGCACAGGGGCTCCATTCCCAGCCCCCACAACTGTCAGCTAAGCCCTTCCCGTTCTGCCTTCCTCCAGGTCCAAAAGGACCTGTGCATCGGCAACTACGTGTAAATTAGACGTACCTAAAATGGTCACTGCCTCTACCAGCTATTCATCTTTTCACAATATACCAAAGTCATATAATCATAATTTTCACTAACCTCTGAAAATTCATGTGCAGATTTGTCCACAAGCTCCTTTTCAGCCCACACCAAAGTTCTGGGGCCAATCTCTCTGAAGAACAAAATTCAGTCAGAAAAACCAGGAATACCATCTTGGATTTCCTGGCTGCTTATTTCTTAGCAAAAATTTCAATGCAGCTGTTTGTGGACATTTTAGTAGCTGGGGCAAGCGAGTGGCTGTAAAAAGCATTATTGAAAGGGAATAGCTGATGTGAACAGTTCCTTTAATTGCCCCTGGTTCCAAAGATTGGCGCAGACATAAGTCCATATCCTGGCCAGAGTTTGTGCATTAGGAGAAGGTGACAGGGCTTCACCAAACCCTTCTTCAACACTTTACCTTTTGCAACCAAGTTCTCCCTGCCAGCCTTTGTCATACTTAGTCATGATATTCACACTCCTCTTTATTTAAGTATTCTGTAGCCCAACAATTGGAGTGACCTGGAAGGACTGATGCAAAGATGCACTGCCCAAACAATGTGCATGTACCAGTCATGCACTTGCAACTTCTACTTCTTCCAGGAGCTCAGCTATATTCTAATACCGTCTAATTCCAGAAATCGCTTCCAAAACAGCCCGTTTTATAATCACTGCATACAAAGTGATTAGAAAGGGAAGGTAGAAAGTTGTCTTGCCTGTCACAAGCTAGATTGAACTCTAATATTCTGTTAGCAGCCAATGTAGAACAACAGATGAAGTGTGCATTCAGATTCCTGTTCAGATACGAATCCTACTGGTTCATTTTTACCATCCTCCAAAGTGACATTGTAGCAATATTAATAAACAGGCTGCAGCCCACTCTCAAGCCCTTGAGAGAGGACAGGCTCAAGCAATTTCTACACTTTACAAATCGAGGAATTTCTACAGTTATTGAGTAATACTCACCTGCTTTCCAAAGCACCAACAACTAAAGCAATCAGATAGCAGGGTATTGGAACCTAACCCCAAAGGAGAGAAAAATAATAGAAACAATAACAGTGCAACATGTCACATATTTTACACCTACAAGGCTGAAGCCAAAGTTATCCAATGATGCATATCTACATTATGTAACTGACCACTGTGGGCTGAAAGTGCATAACGGCTTACATTTTGTATGAAGCGGTATATCTTCCTTGTGCTTTCTTCTGGGTCAGGCAAGTCTCCATCTCTCTTGGCACTCATAAGTGCCACCAGCTCATTCGGAACAGATATCTAGTGAAGTACAAAAATATATTTGTTTTTATTTAATAATGTTAAACTATTTCACACCTTGCAGGCAATGATACCCTAGAACGGCTATTCTGTAGCAGTGCAGCTCAGAAATAATTCACTTCTCGCCTTACCTGAAAGCTCCCCTTATTTTCTGCCATGTTCACACCTGGGTTTTTCAGTAGTGTTAAGTGACACATTCCCCGGTGTCATGACAAACATCAAGTTACTTGATCACAAGTAACACATGCCAATGTGCAATTTTGATCTTTTGGTTCCCTGTTACATACTGATCTCTTGGAGAGAATGAACAGTGACTGTTCCTGCAAAAAGACACCCATAAGACGTACACTTTGAGCAGTGTGGACAGTAAAACACTTTCCGGCAGGTAAGAACTGTTGCAGGTCCTCTGCCCCAAATTAGACTGGAAGTGTGACAGAGGATAAAAGGTTAAAACTGCCTCCCATGGTCCTGGCCTGCTTTGTTTTCCCCATCAACTCTTTTTTTTAAAAAAATAGCTGTGCAAGGGCTTAACAGCCCGTAAGACAGAGGACTAGGAACCTGCACCCAACATTGAGCAACCAACCACCAACATATCCTTCTCCAGATTTCTGACAAAAGTAACCTCTGATATGTTTTGCAATGCATAAAGAAAGATACTCTCAAGGAGAACATGTGGTTTTGATGTTAAAATGTTGAGTCAGCTCTGTTAATGCCACAACAGTTTCCACATTCTGGAGTTCTAAGTGCTGAAACTGCATTCTCACAACCTCCATCTTCAGCTATTTAAGTGCTTATCGTGACAAATCTGGCACAAATGATGCAAAACTTGTCACTCTGCCATCTGGTTATGGGTAATAAAGTGTCTGGGGCTGGTAAGCAAGAGATTCTGACTTCCAATAAACTTAACTTTATATCCATCTGTTTCTTACAGCATTCTTTATAGGCAAGGATAAATTATACCCTTGAATGTTTTAAGTGTGTTCTAAGGTGCAATTTACACAAACAGCAACACCGCAGCAACTTGAAAAGTTGCTGGGTTGAGGCTACAGCATAGACAGTTTGCATGAGACTAGGTTGTAAAATGTTCTTTGCTTTATTTATTGGTAACATTTATCGCCCATCTTCTTCCACTACAGAATTCAAAGTGGTGCACATGGAATTTCCCAGTGATTTCCCAGCAGGCACTGGTCATGCCCAGGCCTCCTTGGGTTCAGCAGTGTGGCTGCAACATGTACCCTCAAGATCCTGCCTACAATTTTCTTCTTTCCTAACCTCCCCTCTTTTTCTTGGTAACAGTTTTTATTCATTATCAGCGTTAAACTTTTTAACATGGCTGCAGCATTGATATATCCATCTACCTTTGTTTACACTAGAGCATATGACATGCAACAATTACATAAAATTAAAATAAACATTTCTGAATATATTAACAAAGTTGTATCAAAGTGTATCTATCAAAATTATTGCAATAATTGCAGATATGAAATGATGCATAGTAACATGCATTTGTATTTTGTATCAATAACAATTAACATTTATAGGAATTTAAAGGAAGTGGGAAGGAAGAAGGGCAAGTTTTTTTTAAAAATGTACTTCATGCATGCATTCTTAATCCTTTTATCCAAACTATGATATTTGCATGGATCTTGGAAAGACATGCCTGCTTTTCTCAGATTTTTCTTAAGGCCAGATTGGGGAGATGTCATGTGGTCCAGTCTATACATGACTTGTCACCTGCCAGATCCTCTTGTTTTCAGGTTTAGGAAAGCAATGAGTTCAAGGCACTCCACGGCTCCTACTGCTGAGGTGCAGGCTTTGGCAACTAATTTACATGAAACCTGTCTGTGGCCATTCTCTACTGATACATAATTATCCCACTGGCCCCTCCAGAAACCCTTGTCCAGGGCCCAGATCAGTCTGAGATGTTGAAGATGCAGCCAAGTGACTGCTGTCAGTGTGCCCATTCTTTTAGGGAAGAAGTTGTGGCTCAGTGAGAGAGAACATGCTTTACAATTTCAAGTCCAGTTCTTGAAATCTCCAGGCAGGACTGGGAGAGTCACTTGTCTGAATGCTAGGAGAACCACCCCCAAGCCACACCCTCCTGAGCAACACCCCTGACCAGACTTTCTCTGCAACCTCCTTGACTGTTTTTGCCTTGCTGGAATGTGTCTTCAAACTCTGATAAAGCTTTCATGGATGGAGGATAGAGAGGGATGTAAAAGTATAAAGGAACTAGCTTACTGTGCAAAGGTAACATTCACAGTGTTGTTCTGCCCACTTTTGCCTCCAGCCCTGCCAATCACTAGCATGTGGCCGCTGGAAGGTTGTCCAGATAGGAATGTGGCTATGGGCTGAAACTGGTTCCCCAACCCTGATGCAAGCGATACTGAGCTAGAAGGACCCAAATTCTGATACTGTATGAAGCAGCTTCATATGTTCCTAATTATCTGATGCAAATTTGCCATGCAAGTCTGATGATAAGCAAATAAATCAAACTCTACCCAGCTCACTGAATGGCTCAATTGTTCAAAGGACTTATGTCGTGGAGCATAAGCACAATTTCAGAAGAAAGTTTTCAAAGCCAGAGAGCTTGGCTTCCTTGGGCTGGGAAAACAAACATCTTCAAGCCTCCTTTATTTAGCACTATTTTCTTTAAGGATTTCCCTGAAGATAGAAATTGGTTTTACAGTAAGCTTATAGTGGGAAAAACTTCTACTCAGCCAATTTACTTTAGCCGATTTGTTAAGATTCCTGTGTTATGAATCCTAAGCAGTTTCTGCCAAGTACTAGAACAAACAGACAGCTTGACAAGTGCTTGTTGGATTCAAACAGAGTCACTTTTACATACAAACATTTCTTCCACACTCACCCAAACCCAGGAGAGAGAAGCAGTCAAAGGAAAAAAATCCACTTGAAAGAAAAAAACTGAAGCTAAAAAGAGAAACCACAAAAGGCAGGAAAAGGGACGCACAAGACCAGCTGCTTCCAGAAGTCAATTTTCCTGCCTTTGGACACTAGATGGCAGGGTTTCTCACCTGCTGGGCCATCCTCCATGGAACAAAGTATTATTTTATTTCCAACATTGCAAATTAAATCTGTCAAAACCTATTCCATGGCGCCCTCTTACAATGGAGGCTAACCAACTGGTTTTCTGCATATTCAAGAGTGGCTCCAGATCAAATAACTATCCTGGCTTCATAAGCCATAATTTATAGAAATGGACAAGTTTGATTAAGCAAGAATCTTACTGTTTGGTCTGTACAGGCGCACCATCTATGCGGAGCCGTGGGGGCCAAGCCTCCCCAAGTTCTACAGTGGCCCTGCACACACACCATGGGGCGTCCACATGCCCTGCAACATGCACGAGTGACATCAGCACGCAGAGCACACGGGTCTGTACTAACACCTAGTTCTCCAAACCCCATCTATTTGTTGAAAGACAGTGGCACCTTCCAGATAGAGCACGATAAGGCAACTAGCTGGAATCTTATAAAGTAGTAGACACTTAAATTTGTGCACCAAAGCTTTACGAACAAAATAACAATTGGGTACCTGCAAAGAATGCAAGAGTTTTTTGCTGTACATTTTCAGGTTTTTTGTCTGCATGTCCACTCAAGTTGCACAGTTTGGTGGCAGGGTTTTAATGAATACCAATACACTAATTGAGATTATGCATGACTGCTAAATAAGAGAGCCAAGTTTGCACCTCAGGGGTACAAAGCTTTCAGGTTCACCTACTTCTGCATAGTATGTTAGCTTCACTGAAGGAGTGTCCTGGCAGGGAAGAACAGCTCTGCAGTGTGTGGCCTAAAAAACAAAGTGACACAGATTACAGGCTGCTATTCTTACAGGAAAATATAGTAATGCACAAGGAACACTTTTTTAATATTACATTTAAGTTTTGCACTACACTGCTACCATTAAAAGCATAATACCCCCAAGTAACCACATCTAGGCACAATTTAATTAGGCTCATGTGCCTGCTTCAAATTCATATATACATTTCACATTCCCTAATGCAGTCTACCAATCAAATGCCCCTTAGTTTAGAAGGCAATTTGAAGTTTGAAAAGCAAGTGGACCAGTAAGATCACAAGCACATGTACTATTTGTGATTGCCTCACCACATTATAAACATTGCTTCAAGAATGTCATAACAGAGCACCCTCCAGAACTTTATACAACATACATGCTTCCAAGTAATCGTAAAAAGGCAGTAACCAATGATATGGGTTTTCTGGGGAAAAACTGAACAGGAAATTTCCTAGACTTTTCCCCCAAAAAGTGTTTTATCCAAAAATTCAGCAACTATCAAGCATTCCCCTCCCTACCATATCTGTTCCTGTGTAATTCTATGAGCTTCTCTGAATTTACCTGGTAGCACATCCTACATCTGCTTCATCCTGCACCTAATGGATCGATCTAAAGCAAGCTCCTTACAGGAATGGCTCTACTAAGTTATTTTCATACCCCAGTACAAGGACTTTAGGAAATGGGTAAAGTTTTCTCCCTTTACTGCTCATCTCCAGAAGACCACAGGGAAAGTCTAGACAGCACCTCCATCATCAATTGACTTTGGTGGAAATTAAATGGTTTGATGTTCTAAGTATCAAAACGATTTTGTTTTGCAAATCTTGTTCAACACTATTATCAGCTTATTTCTGACCTTTGGTAAAGAATTACAACCCTATTAACAGTTGCACTTAGTATTATAGTTCATACAAATGTGTTGAACCATAAATGTCTGACATTTAGAAGATAGTACACAAGATTTGCAAGACACAATGACCCTGTTCTCTTAGCCACCAGGTCATAAAACTACTTTTAAAGAATGTTCAATTTCTTCAGATATGCAAGAACCAGGATCAGTTCATCAGTTCTTCAGCTCCAATATAACCAAGGTCTTTTATGCCTTTGCACCCAGCCAATGTACCCACTATGCAATGGGAAGTTATCACACAATGGGATCCTGAGAGCCTTTACAGACTGCTACTCACTCCCCCAATACACTGTAAGATTGTATGATATATACTTTAAGAGAGTCTGTGGCAGACAGTCTTGGCTCAAGTGATTTCAGTTGACAGGCACCGTTTGGCCAAGTGGAAGCAGTGCAGGATACACAAAACTATAAGTAACATGTGGGAAAAGGTTGCCCATAGCAGAGAAGGAAAACAATGGTTTGCTCACCTGACACTGACTGAAGAGAAATGGGTGCCTTTTCCCCGATGTCTGCTCTGGAGTGAACCACTGGAGTGCTGAAGACCTTGGAGACGTTTCAAAAGTGATCTCTACAACCACATCTTGCCCCCTGTGAATATTGGAATAGTGTGCATTCAGATGTGATACCTCCATCACCTTTGGAAAGTTCTAACTTTTAAATTTGTAACTGCAAATTTAGGGACAAACTTAGGCAGTCGTTTTCTTAAAATTTTAACAGCCAAGCAATTTAATTATGTTAATGAAGAATATGTAGTGGGCAAATAATCTTCCATTCAAACAACTACAAAGTTGTTCGTGCATGAGCAACAGTAGCCCCAACTCACAAATACATTGACTGGTGTATATTAGAATTTCAGGACATTGAGTCCTAACTACCTCAAGGAACAAGTCTTATCAGGTTTTATAGCAAGAAAAAACCTATACGGGCCCAAAGTAAGTATATTTTGCCAGACTCTTAAGCAAATTTCTTCAAGTCTGGCATCATGTCATATGCTACAATATTACACAAGCACAACTGCTAGTTTAGCATGACACGGCCTCTTAATCTAGCACATTTTAAGATCAGATCATCAAGAGACCAGAAAAGGAGGATAAACTGAACACACATACTTTCCCAACTCAAAAGGTAGCGTGATTTCCAGCGGTGCTCCTTTGAAGCTATGACGTTCCCCAAGAACAAATTGTGCATCTTGCTTATTGACAACCACTTTGTGTATTGTTAGATCCTTTGTGTCCAAAACCTGTAAGTGAGTTCATGAGCTATTATTGACAAACGCACTAATATATATTGAAAATTGAATCAATATATTCAATATTTTAAATGGCCATATGGCCAGTATAAATTCTATCTGTTCATAAATTCCCAAAGAAACAGACATTTACAAAGGCTCAAAAATGTAGCCCAGCCTTTCCTTGCATGTTGTTAACAGGCTTTTCCTCATAGTCATGCAAAAGGATTATGTTGCCAAGACAAAGGGGACTGACCAGCTCAATTTTCAGAATAGTCAGTGCTATCAATCTCTAGGTGCTATATGAATACAAGACAAGCACCTTGCAAAGCTTTATCTGCACAGCACAAACAATTATCTGCTTCAGAGCTACACAATTCCAGCTATATTGTGGCCAGTTTTCTACATCTGTTTTTAAGATGTAGGAAAACACAGTATCTAGAGTTAGCTGTATTTCACTTTAAATGTTCTGTTCATTCAACAATCTTAAGTCTCCGTGCCTTCAAGTACTTACAAAGAACAGAAACTCGCATTGTTCCAAAGTACTAAACAGCTGATGGAACAAAGACACTTAAGATTTTTTTTTGGCCAGGTGTAACCCATTTATGTGGCCAGGAGAGTCAACTTGTAAAAGAAACTATTATAAATCATACATTTATTTACACAACAGCAGCACCAAGTAAAGTATATCAGTCCCTGAAGTGCATTAAGTATTTTTTGGATATTGTGTAATCATTAGGGACAGTATCCCAGAAACTGACAGACTGGTATGCAAGTCTTGATTCTCTTTACTGAGAAACTTGACTTGGATCTTTGTTTACAATTTAGAACATCCAGCGATCTCTCCAACTTCAAATCAACCGAAAGATTTTAGCAATCGCTGCCAGTTCTTTATCAAGGACTCGGCCACTTAAGTTTAGAGAGAGAAGCCCTTGAGGAACTTGCTTTTGCAAGCACCTACCATACCAGCGTGACAAAGTACAACTTCCAAGGAAACAAAATGCAAATGCTGCAGCCACGAGAGAAAGTCGCCAGCCTCAAGAGCATCTGCTTAAGACAAACCAACTTAAAACAGAAGCCCAAGCCAGCTTTGCGCACAATCCCTCCGCCCGTTTCCTCCAAAGCTGTGATTCCCAATGCGGGGCACATGCCCCATAGGGGGGCAATTTGGAAGCTTGTTTAGACCAAGTTAGTGGCCTTTTAGGCTTCCTCCACGGGAACAGGAGTTCAATTTTTGAATAATAAACTATACGTCACGGGGGGGCAATCAGGATTTTAGAGATACTTAGGAGGGGCATGGCCAAAAAAAGGTTGGGAACCACTGCTCCAAAGGAAGTTCCTCCAAGATAAACGCGCCCACAGGTAGGAGGAGGGAGAAAGAGATATTATCTTGGGACGAAGGAGGCGTCAAAGGAGAAGGTGTCACCCAGTAACTTTCCAGCCGGTGCGGCTTCCCGGGGTTCCTTCCGGTTTCCCTCTGGGGCGGCCGTCGCCCTCCGCCCCACAGAGGGGCCTGCCCTCCTGCCGGCTCCACGACGGAGGACGGCCGGTCTTCCCCTCTCCCTACAGACCTAGAGCCCCGCCCGTCCAGGGAAGAAGTTACCAGTCGGCGCAGGCTGTCCCTCTCCGCCCTCACGGTGAGGGCCGCGGTTCCCCTCAGCGAGCGGCTGGCGAAGTCCACGCGGCAGCGCAGGTGGAGGTGGTGGGTGCGGCAACAGCCGGGCGACGCGAAGGAGCTAGGATCCGCCTCGGCCATGGCTGCGCTCTCGCCTTCACGCCAGCCGGCCCACGGCGCTTAAGAGCCGGCCTGCCGGCCACAGGCCCCGCCTCGTGAGGCGGGGTCAAGGGAAAGGGATTCTGGGAAAGACAGTTCTTTAGATGGGGAGAGCCTAAGGAAAATACGGAGGGCGGACTACTACTGCCACAATCCACTACGGGAAAGCCTCGTTCAATGGCTTCTGTTTGGATGAGTCGGTTATCCTATGGCACACCGCGAATTCTCCGGAGGAAGAATTTAAATTGACAGAGGAAGAAGCTTGACCAAGTGGTTCCTCGTTAGTATAGTGGTGAGTATCCCCGCCTGTCACGCGGGAGACCGGGGTTCGATTCCCCGACGGGGAGGTGCTATGTTTTTTCCTTCCTTCCTTTGCTCTGTCTATACTGTATATATAATACAGTTAACAGCAACTATTTCGAACATGTACAATTCACCTACTGGTTTATTAATACTTGTCTCTGCTTGTAGAGTAAGTGGCGGTTTTGCACTAGCAATGCTTACAGCAATGGCTAATGATATTAAGCTGAATAGCAGCTTTTTAGTAGAAGTTCATTATTCATACCTCAGGCGATTACAGGAAACCTAGGGTGGCATCATTAAGTGAATTCATATTATAGGTTGAGATTAGTGCTAGTGCATTTTACTTGATTAAAGAAGTGCCATCCTGTTTCATCAGGGATGGGGGAATTTTGCAAGACTACTATGTTTTCAAAATTTATAATGAAAATTAATTGTGGGTTATTAATTATGAATAGTATTCACAATCGTGGCAAACGGATAGTTGATTCCAACTGTCCACTTGGACTGTGTGGCTCACCTGTTGGAGTGGCTTGGGATGGAACTTGAATGTAGAGGGGGACTCTTCTTGCATTAATAATAATAATAATAATAATAAATAATTTTATTATTTATACCCCACCCATCTGGCTGGGTTTCCCCAGCCACTCTGGGCAGCTTACATCATATCTAAAAACATCAATCCTTATAATTTTTCCTAAAATCATTGATTTTTAGCACATACAGAGATTCCCATGTGCCCAGCTCATAGATAACCACATGGATCTTTGGATCAGGTCTGCTTGTTTAAATAAATTGTATTCATTTGTTTCTTAACGAAAGGTTCTACACTTGATCTTAGCCACAAATTACAAATATAAACAACAACAAAAAGGACAAACTAGTCTATTTTTTTATCTGTATAGGTACATCTGTGTGCAGGTCTGAAAATCCATGTTATACTGGAGTCCTCAGCACAGAAGAAAACTCGAGGCAGCCAAATTGAGATGTAGGGCACTGAAGATTTATATGTGGTGCTTTTGGCTTCCTTGTGTAAGAAATAAAATGATACCACACACAAAAAAAATTCTGGTAAAGAGTTGAGTCAGGTTTTGTTTGACTTTGGGTAATTTTTGTATCATTTTGTAACATTTTTCCAGTAGGGCAGTAATATAAAGTTTATCATACAACCTGTCAATAGAATGCTCTATCTGTCATGTGTTCATTTCATTGGTTATTTATGCCTCTCTGAAGTGAAGTCACTGTGGGGAAGGAGGGTGTGAACATGGGCATCTGAGTCTCTTCCTAGGTGTTGGGTACTGAGAAACTTGTAAATGGAAGCCTATTCTCTCTTAAGGCCCTTTTACCAGTTCAAAGATATGCTAGTTTAGGAAAATGAAGGAACTGTGTTTCTTTCTCTCTCTCTCTCTCTCTCTCTCTCTCTCACACACACACACACACACACACATCTGGTTACAGAAATTAATGGTCTTACTTGTGTTAGCTTTATATGAAAAGCATTATATTCATTGCCAGTTGCTTACTTAATCTTGCTTTCTGCATGAGTTGATTATTAAATCTACAATGCTGAAATTTCTGTGCTAAGACCATGCATTGCAAAACCATTAGTTTTAGTTCCTCAGAACTAATTTCCTGACTTCAGAATTATGGATAACTTCCTTTTTCTTGTGGTACATCCCTTTGTATTTAGTTGCTTGCTACACTTCATTAAAATATACACTGATCTTTAAGCATGTGGCATCACAAGTTCAAGCAGACTTGCATATTTATAGTGCGGTCAGTTTCTAATCACTTATTTTAACATTTGCATCCCATTCTCATTGCAAAGAGTATTTGGGGGCTGACTACTTGCTAGTGCAATGGGGTGTTGTGCAAGCATAAAGAGGCGCTGTAGTAAGTTCCATCCAATCATATCATTGCCCCGTGGTGTGATGGACGGCACTGCTGTCCGTTGCCTCTGAAAGCTTACACAAGAGCAAACCAGTTAGGACGTGATCTGAACCTTCACAGGGATTGGACGTTCAAGATTGCTCCACATAATCTGAGGCTACCTCATTTCTCCATGCTGACGTGTAAGGGGCAGTGCGCACGCAGTGCTAAACATGCATCAACATTTCTGTATGCAAGCTGGAACTACTATTGCATCAGAGCATCACTCTTTTAGCTACTGCACATTTCATCTTATTTTTCCTTTAGGCAATGCTGCAGTCACTTCAGCGTACCACCATATGAACGTAAACCACTCTTAACAACAATGGTTGTTGTTGTTTAGTCGTTCAATCGTGTCCGACTCTTCGTGACTCCATGGACCAGAGCACGCCAGGCACCCCTGTCCTCTACTGCCTCCTGCAGCTTGGTCAAACTCATTCTGGTAGCCTCAAGAACACTGTCCAACCATCTCGTCCTCTGTCGTCCCCTTCTCCTTGTGCCCTCCATCTTTCCCAGCATCAGGGTCTTTTCCAGGGAGTCTTCTCTTCTCATGAGGTGGCCAAAGTATTGGAGCCTCAGCTTCACGATCTGTCCTTCCAGTGAGCACTCAGGGCTGATTTCCTTAAGAATGGATAGGTTTGATCTTCTTGCAGTCCATGGGACTCTCAAGAGTCTCCTCCAGCACCATAATTAAAAAGCATCAATTATTCGGCGATCAGCCTTCTTTATGGTCCAGCTCTCACTTCCATACATCACTACTGGGAAAACCATAGCTTTAACTATATGGACCTTTGTTGGCAAGGTGATGCCTCTGCTTTTTAAGATGCTGTCTAGGTTTGTCATTGCTTTTCTCCCAAGAAGGAGGCGTCTTTTAATTTCGTGGCTGCTGTCACCATCTGCAGTGATCCTGGAGCCCAAGAAAGTAAAATCTCTCACTGCCTCCATTTCTCCCCCTTCTGTTTGCCAGGAGGTGATGGGCCCAGTGGACATGATCTTAGTTTTTTTGATATTGAGCTTCAGACCATATTTTGCACTCTCCTCTTTCACCCTCATTAAAAGGTTCTTTAATTACTCCTCACTTTCTGCCATCAAGGTTGTGTCATCTGCATATCTGAGGTTGTTGATATTTCTTTCAGCAATCTTAATTCTGGCTTGGGATTCATCCAGCCCAGCCTTTTGCATGATGAATTCTGCATGTAAGTTAAATAAGCAGGCAGACAATATACAGCCTTGTCGTACTCCTTTCCCAATTTTGAACCAGTCAGTTGTTCCATATCCAGTTCTAACTGTAGCTTCTTGTCCCACATAGAGATTTCTCAGGAGACAGATGAGGTGATCAGGCACTCCCATTTCTTTAAGAACTTGCCATAGTTTGCTGTGGTAGACCTACATTTTTGTGACCCTGAAGTTTAAGCTTCGCAACCAGCAATGAGGTCTGTTAGCTTCTTTAGTGAGGTTGTTCACAACCATCTTTACAACAGCTGTGCTACTGATTCTCAAACTTTGGGATTGTTGAAATATACACAACAAAACCCTCATAAATTTGCGTTGTGCAACCCATTTTTTAAAGAAAGTAATTTGGACTAAAGTTGCTTCTGGGGCCCCCCTGGGATAACAAATTCTCCTGTGGCACAATGGGTCAGTGTCTCTGGCTGTTAACCAGAAGGTTGGTGGTTCAAGCACACCCAGGGATGGCTGTGAGTAGAATTCCTGGACTAGATGACTAGATGACTAGGGGTTGGGCTAGATGACCCTTGACTCCCTTCTAACTCTACAGTTCTAAGATTCTGTATTGGCTGTGAACTCTTCCATTAAAAAGTATATTGTGAGCTGTTAGGAGTCCACCTAGTGGGGAAAAGCGGAACATAAGCTTTTAAAAGGAATTCAAAAGCTAATGTAATTTCACTCCTTTCTCAATGCCTGGAAGTCACAGTTAGTAGACAATACTGAGCAAAAGAGTTCAATAGTCTTATCAGCCCAAAGCAGTTTCCTGTGTCCTAACTCTTTCAGTTACTGATTGGTTCAAATAAATTTGACACACACACCCCAATGTCACAAGACCTCTACTGGAGAGAGAGAGAGAGAGAGAGAGAGGACACATTGATAACACTTGTGGTTGCAGCCTCCACCAAATATAATATATTATTTGCAGTTAATAAGAACCATATCTTTCAAGTAGGAAGCTGGTGAAATAAAGGAGATATGTACATACATACCATCGGCTGCACACTTTATTCATTCCATTTTTCTTCCTCCCCCAAAACAAAAGCTAGCAGCAAAAATAGGGTTGTTATTTACTTAACCATCTGCTGTTTATATGCAAGCCCAGTGGAAATAGGAGGATAAGAAAAACCTGAATGTCATCATAGAGGTCTTATTTTAAAAAAAAACCAGCAAACTAGGGCAGGCACCTTTATTTCCTATCTCTCCTGCCACTGTTAAATGCAATTATAACTACGAGGTGGCTTTCAGACACCAGCTAACAGAATGGCATGACAATAAAATAAAGCCAAATTAAAACAAGGAACTAAAAAAGTACTTAATTTGGAGACAGCTTGCAATGGAGAAGCAGGAGTGCAAGTTAAACACCTCACACTCTAGGTACAAAGGTGGACTTGCTAGAGGGAGCAGTACAAGTTTTTTTATATATTTAGAAAAGTTTAATAAAAGTTGAAGTCCAAAATGTCTTGCATGAGACTTTTGCAACCACAGGTATTATCTTCACAAGTATTATTAGCAATTTAACATTTGCAGAGGAAACTGAATAGATTCAGAATAACTGTTACAGTTGCTTCCGGTCCTGGTTTATTTGAGGGGCTACAGCAACTATCTCAGATTCAATTCAACTTATTAAGAAGTCATTTTCACCCCGGTCTGCATTCCATAAATTGGCTGCCAACCAGTAGGGTGTACCATTGTCAATGCTTCAGCAAATAAGCAAGCAAGCAAGCAAGCAAGCAAGCAAACAAACAAACAAACAAACAAATACTTTGTGAAAATAGAGGAGAGAGTTGGAAATAATAGTTTCAAAACTAACTCAGTTTTTTTAAATTAAAATTTGGAATAGGAAATAAAACAAAAATCCTGCTGTGAATTTCATCTCTGCTATAATGTGTGGCACTTCTTCTGTGATATGTGCAATGGGGAAGAGAATCTCTTTGATATCAGAAACCATCAGGCAAGATTCAGTTACAATATCTTAAGAGGTGTCCAAATGCACAGCAAACAACTTGCCAAAATATACAGCTAATAAGCAAATGTGACATGCAGCAATAGTATTTCCCCCACCAGTTCTTAATCTTTTAAAGCCTTATATTTAAAAACAACACTGCAAGCAAATTTTCACAGGGAAATATAAATTGTTTCTCTTCAGTGAGCTATGAAACCATAAAAACACAAAATGAGTATCAGGAAAGCAAGCAAAAAATTTACATATTTATTACCAGTAATGCAATGGGAGTCAGAAAAGGTTATAGACAATGGAAGGCAATAATGCCCTTATCCTGTGGCGCTGGCACAAATGGGGGATTATTCCACTTAAGAGCAGGCTGCTATGCAGTTGGTTGGTTTCGAGCTGACTGGACTGATTATCCACAACAGTTAAAAATGATGCTCTGTGCTGGAAGCTGGAAACAGTAAGAACAGAATCTGGTAAACTTAGAATGTGCAGTAATTCGTATTTGTGTTCCAGCTTAAAAACCTTTGGGTAGACTATTAGAATTTATTTTTTTAAAATATTAATAATGTGGTAAGCTTTTAGTATCCCTGCAAAGATCTTTGGTGTACAGTTCTGTATTTCGAGTCAGATTCCTTTCACAGTCATCCACATCTGAAGTGAATAATAAGTTTATTATTATGTAGTCTGAGGAATGGCTTCTCATAGCCCATTGCTTACTTGTTTCTGCCATGGAATATGCAGAAGAGCACCCACAGTAAACTACACAAACTGGAAAGCAATAGCAACAAAAAAGGGCTTTGCAGATTCTAGGGCAGGGATGAGGGTCCTTGGGCCCTGGGGAAAATAAAAGCATTTCTAAGTAGCCCCAAGCAGGTATTGTCTTTCCCCCAGCTGTGTGTCAGTTAGCAGAAGACAACAGGAGACAATAGCAAAGCTGAGAATGGGAGGTTGCCAGGGTAACAGGCAGGGCATGGTGTCACACAGGAAAAATGCGTCCCT